TGCTTCCTTTACAAATATTTCCCTTGCACAGTATTGTAGGGACACCAAATGTAGGTCAGTCCGATTTCCCACAATAGAGATTGAGAAAAGGACCACAGTCGCTGCTTAACTTGGTAAGTCTGCTTGTGACTTGTGTTATGCTAAGGAGAAGTAGGAGGGATGTGCTGACCTTTCAGACTAGCTAGTATGCTCCTTTTAACTCTTTTACCAGCTGGTTTGCTTGTCTCTTAGACCTCTCTCTGCAAAACATTTTGTTTGAGGAACTGCAGTACAGCAAGCCACAACTACAAGCTAACCAATTCCCGTTTCTCTTGGTCTCTGTATTTCTCATGGTCTCTACAGACAGTTCTGCTGCTTTGCCAGGGCGTTAAATATTTGCGATTGTTACAACAGTTTCTGGCTGCAGCTGTGGCTTCAGGGGACATGGTACCTGTTCTAAAATGCTTATGCCCCATCATGCAAAGCACAAAATGAGTTTTGTGTTCAAACTTTGTGCTTACTGCTAGTATTTATCTGCTGTGCTTTGTGCTGGGTCAGCTTTCTCCTGCCCTCTCAAAGCAGCCACATGAATCAATATGGGAAATCTAAAATATTTTGGCTATCTCTGTGTGGTGCGCGTGGCTCAGTCGCTAAAAGTTTGAGATCCAGCTGAAATTTGGAAAGACCCTCATGGTTCTAGGAAATTTCTGTTCTGAATTTAGTAAATAAGGTAAATGCGTAAAGCTTGTTTCCGCTTAAGCTTCTGGGGTAAAAACAAAACAAAACAAAAAAAAAACACTAACACTTTGGAAAAACGGTAATTTTCAGCATTGTAAATCATTGTGACAATAATGGGGGATCATGGGGGAACTTCAGGTCCGAGCTGAGTTTTTTGCAGAGGCTTAACCTCTAGGTCTGCTTGTTGCAAATACCGGGAGATGAGCATTACAGTATTGACAATATAGCATGTTAAAGACCCTCAGACATAACACTGTAGAGAGCAATGCCGTTAAAGCAAACTTTAATTTTTTTGGTACTTCGTAGTCATTAGTGGGTATTCTCAGATGAACAGGAAAAATGTAGAGAACAAGTTTAGTGTGATTCAGCCAAAGACTAGGTCAAGTAATACTGCATTTAAAGAAGGCAATACAGGTAATGGAGAAGATGTGTTTGTATAACTGCATATTCCTTTTAAGGGGTTCTTGGTCCATTTTTCCTTTCCGTGTTAAAAAGCTCTTTTTGTATGTGTCTATCTTCTGTAATGTCCAAGTTACCGAATGTAGTAAGAGATGGATTTTCAAATTGTCTTTTTAGACAAGCATGCATGCAGTTCAGTAGCTTGTGAAGTAGGAACTTCTCTTACACCTTGCCTTGCTATGTGGGCAGATTTCTCTGTTGGAAAACCTTCGTTTTCTTCAGTGGATGGACATTTTTAGTTGTGGCAGTGATTCCAGAATGACATGCAGGGAGAACTGCAAGAACAAAAAGATAAATAGAAGATAAATATGTTGAACTATGGTCTTAATTGAATATCTCCATCTCTTACGGTTCTTAAAACTTTTTCCTTCCCTGAATGTTGAAAAGCTCCATAACTCATTTTAAACAGACAAGGAGCTTCTGTGGTAAAATCAAAAATGTAGCATTAGCAGTCACGGAAATACAAAGCTTAAGGACTACTGTCCTGTGTCCAACCAGACACTCCTGTAGTTGTGTCTTGCTAGTTAGTGTTGGAGCCAAACCTTGAAAAAGATCTGTGTAGGAGAAGAGAGAATTGTGTGGAAGATGCAGCGTGACCATTGCCCAGTTCCTGCCAGGCAGCCAGCTGGGCTCTTGCGGACTTGTATCGGGACTATCCCCTGGGTAGGCTGTTTGTTTAGATACCAGTCGTATCTAAAGCACGCGAACCCCTGTCGGCTTCTGGACTTCCTGAGTTAATCATGTATGAGTATTGAACATAGTCGCGTATAGAAAAAAATAAATGTTAATCAGTGTCCCGGTGGAAGTTTCACTTCTAGCCTGCACATTTGGTCCCAGATGACAGATAACTTCTTGTTACGTGTGCACTTGGCTGATGGCAAGTGAGTTTTATCTCCTGTTGTGTGACCTTTTGGCTTCTGATCAGTTGGATTTGTTATGGAGGGCTATAAAATGTCTGAGTCACCTTGTTAAGCTGCAGTCAGCTGGTGGGATAAGAGGTGTGATAAAGGAGATTGATATCTTTCAGATGACCTGAATGGCTGCTGCCTAAAGATTCTTTTGACTCAATACTTCTGATTGCAAAATAAAAGTATTCTGAAGATCTGTAGTTTCTGCCAGTAAATGCAAGTTTAATTGCTGGGTAGAAGCCAGTATAGTTCATAGATTTGTTCTCCTCCTTCTCCTTGGACAGCCCCCCAACCTACGTATGTGTAGTGTTTTTATGTGTGCACATGTGTAGGTGTACACACTTGGGTGTATATAAATGCACACTCTTGCCAGGGAAATAGCAGACAAGGCTATTTTTGTGTGTTAATTTGGAGTACTTTGTTCGCCATCATCTGGGAACCCTCATCCAAACCTTTCTAGCTATTGTGTTTCAGCTCTAAATTAATACAAGGCACAGCTTACTTGTGTGATCTGCTGATGTAATTCTCAAGAACAATACCCAAGGAAGTATTGCATGTTCTTGGAGAAGATATCAGTCCTACTGTTTTGCAATGCTAAATAAAATAAGATTATGTAGTCTTTTGCATCAATGGAAATGCTGTTTAATGCTAACTAAGAAGCTTATCGTGTTGGAATACCTTACACCAGATCTCTTGAAAGGCAGGTATCCTCCTGGTCTGAGTCTTACAGTAGTACTTTATTGGCATGGCTGTATTAGTTACAGAAGTGCAATTCGTTCCCATTCCCTTTACAAATCTGAGATGATAAAAGCTGCCAGAGTAAATTAAGCCTGTCTCCATCACTGATTTTCTTGGAGAACAAGATGTATCTATGCTGAAAGAAAAAGATTCCTTTCTTTTCTTTTATTCACGCTTTTTTGTGCCTCTACAGTCAAAGCAAACAAACCCTCAAAATAACAAACACCTGCCTGCACCAGTCTTTAACTGGTTGAGCTCTGGTTAATTCCGGAGCTGGTTAACTCCTCTCTAACCTGGTCGTGTCACCTCTCAGACCTGCACACAACAGACAGTTTTGGGACTAGTATTCCCATCAGTATTTGAGGAGGCATCATTGGTTATCTGTGTACTGAGAAACAAACTTATGTACAGGTGCTGTTCATGTCCAGAGATATACATTTTTGAAGTAGAAGCATTTTTGAATAAAAGCATGCGATTATTGTAAAAAATGGAAAGGCATTTTATAAAAAGTCAAGATGGCATTTGAAATTGTCCTGTCCTTTAGTCTTAAGTGCAAGTGAGAAATAATTAACCATGCTATCTTACTATTTACTTTAAGAAACAAATCTTAATTAAACCCTTATTTGAAGGCAGTACTTTCCTTTCCTTTCATTTTGATTTTAATTAGGAATGCCTTCAAGGGCATTTCAGTGCCCAGTGAGTATTTCTTATGAATTTATATTTTGTGTCTTGAAAAGTTGCATCACTTTGAAAGATTATCTCTTTCACCTCAAGTAACCAGAATTTTCTAGCAAATGGGCAATTAACAACTGTTAAGAGATTTTAAAATATTAGTACTTTATAATTTTTCAGGCAGTCCTAATCCGCCTCTATCAAACGGGTCTTTCTCAAGTTTAATTATTATTGCAATTACAGCAGATATTCGAGCTGCTGGCATTTTTCTGAGCAATGTTTTGGACAGGAGGTTTAAGAACAAAAAAACACTAACCTGTACTTTTTGGCTTTCTTATGTATATATAACTGAGATTTTTGAATGTCTGTTAGCAGTATTTCCACCTCCTGCAATTAGGTTGAAAATTTCACTTTGAAGTAATGCCAGTGTGCAGTGGGGTTTTGCCGCTTGAATGCGTTACTGTTTTTGCAGAAAATTTCACTTGTTATAATTTTGAAGATCATTTTTCAAGTTCTGTCATGTACTTTCATCTGTAGCTTGGCTTGTTTCATCTGCAGTTGCCTGCAACTGCACTTTCATTTTTAAAGCTCAGTAACCACAAGTTGCAAGATTTGGCTTACTGCGGAATTTTTGGATGCTGTCCTGCAGGAAGTTTAGGTTCAAATCTCTTAATTTGTGCTTCTTTGTCTTGGAAAAGGCAAAAGTGTGGATGGACAAGGACTGGCAGGTCCCTTTTCGAATCAAACATGGGAAAACAATACTGTGTGGTGACTCATCTGGTAAAACAAGAGAGAACCACTAAGATGTATGTATGATCTTTACTGTTCCTGTGCCAAAACATTGGTAATACCAATTAAAATGCAGCTTTGTCCAGAAGCAGTTGTTTCAGCATTATCAGGCACATAACTTTGAAAGTCCTCGAGAAATTGGGATAATTTGGGGTAAAGGTGTAAGAGCAGAAGGGGCTGCTTCTGCCTGTCTGAAATAGGTGCAGTGCTTCACTGCCTGCTAGTCTTAGCTTCCTGGATGTTTTGTGTTTAATAATATGTTATTCTAAAAGGAAGGATTTAGATATTCAGACGCAAAGTCATGATTAGGTCTACAAGTTTAAATTCTTTGAAGAAGTATGAGTATTGTTTGCAGATATACAATAACAAGCTGTTTGGCATCTCAGTAGAGCTGAATTACAGGCTCACTTTGTTCCCAAATACTTCTGTGGAAATAACAACGAAATAGAAACAAAACCAGCATTTAAGTATGCTATTAGTAATGGAAGACCACAAGAGAAGAATGAGAAAATAATCACAATATTCCCATCCTGAAAGAATTTTAAATGCTCTCAGCTTTATTTTTCTGTGATAGCTGCTCATTATCAAATCAAAAAAAGGAATGCTAAGTACTCATGAGTTGTGGCTGTGAGGGGGGAAGCAAGTCTGAAGGGCATATGTGTTTGTGCATGTAACTTGGATAATCAAGGAAAAAAATAAATGTCGTTTTAATTCTAGGTGCTAACAGTACTTGAAGAAAGCAACCTTTCCAGCTGGATTGTTGAGGAACTTTGCGATTCCCTGAGCTGCTGCTGTTTAAATAAGGAATTGTCCTGTTAGTACTTGGCTGGTCAACCCAGAAGCATTCTCTTGTGTACTGTATGCAAGTCCCTGACATTCTGGAAACGATGGGAATTGGTAAGAATACCACTTCAAAGTCAGTGGAGGCGGGAGGCTCAACAGAAGGCAAATATGAGGATGAATCTAAACATCCCACCTTCTTCACCCTGCCTGTAAGTAGCACATTCAAGAACTGCGTACTCAAGCTCAGTGTGAACCAGTGAACAATGCTTTGTTCTTAAAATGTCATACAAAACCATTATGTCCTTCAGTTGTTAGTAAAACCTCTTTTGCCATTTATTGCTGTTTATATACACGCATGGCCAATTATGTTGTCTATAGCTATTTCCTGTGTGTGCTCCAAAGCAGTAGTGTTTACAGGACGTGGGATTCCCTATGGGATTCATGATTAGAACAATTGGTGGTCACACTGCAGAATTCACCAGCCCCTAATAGAAGTATGCTGTGTTCCTTGAGTACGAGTAGCAGGCAGCAGCTACAGTTGTTTAACTTACTGAGATTTTCAGTTACGTCATTTATGTCTAGGCTTCAAAGAGCTTTGTGTGAAGCTGTAAGAGAAATGATTGCTTGTCATGCACGTTACCTTTTCTAACAAAATGTCAAAGGTATCTGTTAAGGACAAGGAGGATAAAATGGCTGACATGAACTTGCAGAGAAAATGTTTATTTTAGAACCTTTTTGTTTTGCTTTGCTTTGTTTTTAAGGTTGTCATTAATGGTGGAGCAACATCCAGTGGTGATCAGGATACAGAAGACACAGAGTTGATGGCTATCTATACTACAGAAAATGGCATAGCAGAAAAGGTATGTAGTTGCATCCTTCTATGCAAGAGCTCACTCTTGGTGCTATTATTTGTTCTCCCAGCTAAGTAAAGCTAGAGTGATGTTCTTCTGATTGAACGTGCTGACTTGCAGGTTCAGATCAAGTTTGGGGGAGTTCTGTCCCCATGACTCATCAGGTCTGCAGCTTTTGTTGCCGAAGTTGGTGAATGACTCAGCAAATCTTACAAACAGTTTATTCACTGTGACCTGCCACCTAAATTCATAATATGCAATTTTTGCATTTCTTGACTTATATTGGCCCTTTCACGTGATTTCCCTGCTAAGATCATTTTCCCTTGTTCTTCAGTTTAATTTTTCCTGTATTTAGTCAAGTAAACTGGGAAGTGTTGAATACCTTTGAGACTGGTGTCTTTCCCAGCCTCTTCTAAGCTCCAGCCTCATAAACCTAACTTTCTAACCTTCTTGCAAGTAGGGAACTGCTTATTATTTTGTGACAGCTTTTGAGTGAAGGTCAGGTCGTTCATAAAGGCCCTCGGATGTTTTCCTTAGGACAGCAGTGGTTTTCTCTTTCCTATTTGGGAGCATTTGGTTGATGCCTGAAAGGAACCCAGTTTGGTTGTGATTTTTTTTTCCCCTCTATTGCATCTTTCATTAATTCTGTTTAATAACAACCTTGTAAGTAGAGATAGTGTGAATCACCTGAACTTTCCTTTAAAGTAAAAGAAGAGTATTATAGGAAACATGAAAAGCAACTTTTTTCTGAAATGTTTATTATTGAAGTGGCTCTGTGGTTTGGCATTATCCCAGAAAAGCCTCAATTTGACAAATTTTTTCAAATATCCTAATTGAAACAAGAATTAAAAAAAAACACACACACACAAAACAAAAACAAACAAACACTCTGTTCCAGGTAAGAGCATTGTGATGCTTGTTTCTCTGAGGCTGTAACTTCTGCTAGGACAAGGATGTTCTTGTGTAGTGGAGTTAGTTTTCTAACTTAGATGTCAAAATTCACTTCCAAATTTCAAATTTAAAATGTACATCAAGAGGGTAATTATGGTAGATGTCTTGTAGAAGAATTTTAGAAGAATGTTATGAATGCTGGAGTGTACATTGGATACGATTTGTCTTTCTTACAGATGATCTGTATGTAGAAATTTGTCTCAAATACACCTCTACTACCATCTTGATCATGCTGATATTTTAATGGACACGTTTTGGCAACTGTTGACATGCATGTCTGTGATGGCTGACTTGGAGCATGCTCAGACTAGCGAGTAAAGAGAAAAAGCCTCAAGCAAAAATCGTTGGGATGAAATTGTGCAACTAAGATTATTGATCACTAGACGTGAAAACATGTCTTCATGGCCTGTTTATTGCATATGTATATTTTTCTCCCTTCCACTTGATTCCAGTGAATCAGGACCATACATGATAGATGATGATTTGCCTTAAAGAGACAGTGAGCTGTTATTCAATTAAATCTGTTTGGGTTAAGTCTTTGCTGTGGCTTGCAGTGAATGGACAATGAAGGGGAGGAGCTGTAGCATTTAGCAGTCTCATGTATTAAGATGGTATCTGAGGCTAGTATTTCTGGTAATCTAGCCAAACTGCCTGTTTTCCACTTAAAATAAGTGTGTGCATGAAGCATGATTAATCTTCTCTTTCCATTCCTCTGAAGAGATTATTCACCAAAAAAATCAAATGGAAGACGTTGAATAAATGTCCTTTGACAAAGAGAACTGAAGTGTACTTAATTGTTGGAGGATACCCAGTGCTTACACTTTCTTAATATTTGTTAGCAGAAACAACTATTAGCCCACATGAAAAATAACTATTGCTGAATTAATATAAAGTAAACAACAGAATGTTGCTTGTTGCTTAACTCAATTAATTTGAACATATTGTCAGTTCTTATTTAAGCTATTTCTCTAAAGGCCTCTTTTATTGTTCTTGCAGTTCATCAGCTTTTTCTTGGTCCTTCCCAATACTACTTCATAACAGCGTCTTCATGTCTTCATCTTGCATGGTTGCTGGTGTTTGTTTTTCTCTGTTATTGCCCAACATTTTTGCTCCACCTTTGTCTCTTTCTGTGCATACCTACTGTTTGTTTTCTTTTTTGTGTGTGTGTTGTCTCATCTGTGGCCAATTAAAAAAAACAACAAAAAAAAGAATTAGTCTCTGATCAGTATCTCATTCAAAACGGTGCAGCTTATTACTGGCAGTTCTCTAAAGCATATTGGTATGGCACATTTGGCAAGCACCAGCAAGCAGTCATTACGTGAAACCAGCAGGCACATGCTTGGGATATGACAGGGCCAGTGACTACCCAGTGACTTACAAGTTGGATAGCCACACCTCACCCTAACTCTCAGATTTCTTGTTTGGTCTTGGTGTCTCTTCATGTCCATTCTGTTTAACAAACCTTTAGCGGATAATAGCTAATGTTGAAAGCTTCCTCTTCTGAAGCAGGGTATGTCTGGCTTTTGGAAGAGGATCCATCCAGGATTGAGGAGTATCCTGATGTTCTCTATGCCAGTACTTAGCCATTTAGGAAGGACAGTGCTATGACATTTCTGCTTTAAAGTTTGAAATAGAATTCAGTTGAAGTGGACCTACAAAGTTCCTTGAGTCCAACTGCACACTGACTGGCATGGGGCATCAACCACCTCTCTAGGAAGCCTGTTCCTGTTGTTCCAGTGTTTTACCCACCGTCACAGTAAAGAACGTTTTTCCTTACATCCAGTCTGACACCCCCTCACTTCTCCGTGCGACTCTGTGCTGTTCACATGCATCCTACCATTGGTTAGCAGGGAACAGCGACTGTCACCTTCCCCTGCGCTCCTCTCCTCAGGAGGCTGCAGAGAGCAAGGAGATCACCTCTCAGCCTTTTCTTCATACCAGACATCCCATGTGTCCTCATTGTCTCCTCATAAGTCATTCCCTCCAGTCCTTTTACCAGCTTCGTTCCCCTCCTCTGGACACTTTAAAGGACCTTAACATCCTTTCCATATTGTGGAGCCCAGAATTACATGCAATATTGAAGGTGAGGCCGCACCAAAGCCAACTGTAGTGGGAGAATCACCTCTTTTGACCATCTGGGCATGATGTTTGATGTACCCCCAAAATGCAGTCTGCCCTCTTGGCTGCTAGGGCACACTGCGGCTCTTGTTGAGCCTGCTGGTCAAGCAGCACTCCCAGATCCCTTTCTAATCGGCTGCTTTCCAGCCACTTGTCTCCCAGCTTGTGCCTGTGTCCAACGTTACAACATCCCAGATGTAGCACCTGGCATTTTCCTTTGTTGAATTTCATGCCACTGATGATTGCCCAATGCTGCAATCTGTCTAGATCCCTCCACAAGGCCTCTTGTCCCTCAAGGAGGTCAACACTGCTGCTGACCATCCACCAGCCTGGTGTAGCCCCATTCACTACAGCCCTTTGGGCTCTACCATTCAGCTGGTTCATCAGCCAGTGTAACATGAACCTGTTTATCTCACAGTTTGACAATTTGTCCAGAAGGGTACCATGAGGGATATCAAAGGCCTTCCTGAAATCCCCAAAGTCTACATCCAGCACCTTCCTGTCATCCACCAAGCAGGTGGCCTTACCATAGGAGGAGATCAATTTCAAAGGCAGGACTTTCCCTTGGGGAACCAGCGTTGACTGTGTCTGATAACAGCTTTGTTCTTTAACTGACTCTCAATATCCCAGGAAAATCTTCTCCATAGCTTTTCGTGGGAGTGAGGTTAGACTAACAGGTTTGTATTTCCCTGGGTCTTCTCTCATGCTCTTTTTGTAGGTGGGTATAATGTTGGCCAGCTTCCAGTCAGCAGGGACCTCCCCAGACTCCCACAACCTTCGTTAAATTGCTGAGAGAGGTCCAGCTATAACATCTGCTGATTCCTTCAGCGCTCTGGGGTGAATCCCATCAGACCCCCTGGACTTAGGAACATTTGTCTGATACAGCTGGTTCCTTACACGTTTGGTGGCTACAGATGGAAAGTCGCTGCTCCCCAGTTCGTGGTCCTCCAACTCAGAGGACTGGGCAGCCAATTTTTTGAATGTGCCATGCTCTTCCAGGTCGAAACAAGTCATAGCTTCTGCATTCTGTTGCCCAAAGAAGAAGGGGAATGTATTTTTGACTGGATGTACTTTATGCAACCTCATCAGTCCTATGAGGAAAAAATAGAGATTGGCACATAGAGGAATGGTGGTTACTGGATATTGGTCTGGCAAAGGTAGAAAACTTTGCCAGAACTTATCCTAAGTTCTAGTTATAGACAAGACGTGCAGTTTACAGCGGCTTAGTGTTCTCCCTCCAGCATGACATGCAGCTCTAAAACTTAAGTTCTTTCTTTAAATTATTTTTGTATTTTTTTCACTTTTTTAATGAACCCAGTCAGGTGGGCAGACTTTGTTTGTTTGTTTCGGTCAATGAAAAAAATTATTTTGATGCTGAAAGCTGGCAAATAAACAGTTTTCCATGTTGATCTGTTCAGGAACTATACCTTTAAACTAATTGTGGTGATCAGAATGCTTAGTACTTAATGCTGTTTAAGAGTTTTCTGAAATGAGTGTTTCTATATTTCACTTTCCACTGATTACAGTAGACCCTCAGTCTTTCCATAGCAGTGTAGTCATTTATAATCCTTGAATTTGAATTAACATATGCTCCCAGTGGCATTTATTTTCCCATCAGAAACAGGGAGTAAAAGGGAAATACTACGGATCAGTTTGGCTTCTCTTGTAGTGGATAAATGAAATGGAGGTTATTTTAGAAAACCGGTAAATGAGTTTTGATTTTGAAGAAGACCATTAGAAGCAAAGTCACAAGTCTGGCAAAGTTCCCAACCTTTGTGTAAGGCTACTTCACGTGAGTTTAAGTTCAAGTATGGATTAGGTTAGAACATTAATTATATAAAGTACTTTTTTGATAGTTGAGCTGAAATGACGAAATCTGATCCTCCTGCTTTTGTTGTTGGTACTTAGGCTTTGGAGCATTGTATTCTTGTTTGCAGGAATTCAAAAACTGGAGTTAAACTTAAAAAATTCCACTTAGTTGTGAAGAAGAAATGCTTACTCTGAATCTTGTTCTAATGGGATATATGAAGGGATTTTAATGTATTTGTATGTTTGGTCAGTGTTCTCTTAGATGTCTGTGAATTTAGGGCACATGGAAAGCAACAACATGGTATCACTTAAATTTGTGTAGGTCTGCAGGAAGTTAGCTTGACTAATATAAATTGGCCATGGATGTATTCAGTTATAACGATTAGGATGTATTTCATGTGTACTTAAATGTAGGGTAGGAAAAAGAAACAAAGATCTTATGACTAAAAAATGGTTAACCCAGACTCAAATTGAGTAAGAATTAAGCTGGGAAGTATTTACCATAATGAGGAACTTCCTTGCCTGTGATTTAGGTGTCTTATGCAAGGATAGCTATTTTATAGCTTTTTTACATTGCAAATAGCCAGTGTTCATTCTTCTATTTAGTTCCAATTCTTCTTCCTTTTTTTTTTTTTTTCCCATAAACAAGTCTGTCGTGATAATCCTGTGTTTTGGGCACTGTTTGGCTGCCAGACTGGTTATATCATAAGTGAGCTATTGTTGTGCTAGTATAAATAAGCAGGAAATGGTTTATACAAATGAACCTGTTCAGTACAACTTCAGTAACTACAGTTGGAGATAAGCTCATCATCAAAGGTGTAAGGTTTCTGAAGATAGAATGTACAGATGTTGCTTGTGACTATTATACCGGGCTTGGAGTATCTTGGAATTGCCTGATAGTTCAAATTCAGATTATTCATATGTAACATTAACTGACCATTATGTTTTGTGTTCTACCCCACCTTTCTACCACCCCCAATTTGATAGAGCTCTTTGGCAGAGACTCTAGACAGCACTGGCAGTTTAGATGCTCAGAGAACTGATATGATTTACACTATCGAAGACGTTCCTCCATGGTATCTCTGCATATTTTTGGGGTTACAGGTATGTTTCAAAACAGCTGCTATTTTTTCTCTAAAAAATTTAAAGCTTATTTAGCACTTTCTGTGTAGTTTCTTGCATTTGTGTATGTGTTAATTTTATTCTTCCCACACTCTCGCATATTTGAAGAAACTGTTAAGATAGTGTGACTGACTTCAGAAGAAACTAAGATTACTGTGTTAATAATGATTTACATTATTGTTTGCTGGCTTATGCATTTGTGAGATGCATTTAAATGTTTATTCTTCTAAGATGTTGGTAGTAAATATATGAACAAATGCTACGTGCAAAGCTTCAGAAACTGACATCTTGCACCTCTGGAATTAAAGATGGAGAGAGAGAACTGTTTAGCATTGAAATCTTGTATATTAAAGCTGATACTGTAGTGGTTTCAATTCCAGAAGCTTGATAGCACCATCTTGCAGTCATAATCTGTAAGTTGCTAACAAGCAGGTGTCACAGAATCACAGAACTGTAGGGGTTGGAAGGGACCTCTAAGTGTCCTCCTCTTGGAGTGAGAATGTATGTATGCATCCTACAATCAGTAGGATTGTAGTGGTGAGCAGGACCCTACTAGTAGTTCAACCATTTGCTTATGTGAAGCAGAACAGCTCATTTCATCTCCTTTGTTTCTTGAATGGCAATAAAATCTATCCCACAGGAATGCAGAGAATTTGTTAATATCTGTAAAGTATGTTGAGATCTCCAAGCAAATACATTCCAAAGCATCTTTTTACTTCTGTCTTTCCTCAAGGGCAGGCAGTACTGTAGGGATTTTTATTTGCATTAGTGAATATGGTGACACCTGTTTGTTTGCTTAACATGTTCGGATTGCAAAAAAATTAGTGAGTACCTAGTGTCTGGTACTTGGGAGCCTATGTACATGCTAGTTTGTGTGCTCTAAATTAATTTGTAAGCTAATAGTTTTTCACATGGTTGAAAATGAATGGAGTTATTTATCTGCTTTCCTGAATTTAAAGCTGTTTTCAGCAGTTACCTAGATACCTCCTCATTAAGAACAGTAGCCATGTAGCTATGTAAATAACCTAGTTTATTCTACATAAATAGTGATCATTAGCAACGGACAAGTGGTGGCTTGACATAGAGGGCAAATAGTTGTAGAAATGCTTTAGAACCAGGAAATGAGAGGTCTGATGGATAATTAAAAAGCAAAAACATCCAATAGAAAAGAAAATACCTTCATAAACTCTTTTTAAGAATTGTCTGTGGTATTAACAAACCATTTATTTTGTTCACAGCATTACTTAACATGTTTCAGTGGAACTATAGCAGTTCCCTTTTTGCTTGCTGATGCCATGTGTGTTGGATTTGACCAGTGGGCTACCAGCCAGTTGATTGGGACCATTTTCTTCTGTGTGGGCATCACTACATTGTTACAAACAACTTTTGGGTGCAGGTGAGATTTGGGATTTGTTTCTAATTATTGAACTGCTGATGATAAGACTATGCTTCTCAGTCAGAGATCCAAGAAGAAGTTAGTCTGTTTCCAAAGGATAAATGTGAAATACAAGATAAAAATTTAGTTACAGGACAGTTAGTTAAAGCTTTCGGAAAGCTGCTACAAAAAAAGTGGATCTGAATTCAGAGAAAGCATTCCATGGGTTAAAAAAAAAAATAAAAAAAGAATGCAGGAAAGAAAAAGAGGAGAGAAGTCTATGAGGATAAGGAAAAATGTATACACCGTTGTAAAGAGGAATTAATTTTGCTATTTTCCTTAGTTACTTTAATGATGCTCTATTTTGCCAACATTTAGGTTAAGGTTAGTCCTACAGCAAATTGTGGCTGTTTGTGTAAGGTGCTTGCCATATTAAAAGGGCATGGTGTTTGAAGTCATGCCACAAAATAAGCATAGTTGAAGAAATGTGTTAACATCCAGCTCTGCTATCTTAGACTGTAGTTTGAGTAAAGTGGTCTGTGTAATGTATTCCCAAAGCTGATTTAAGAACGTTGAACTTTTCCTCCAGAAATGAAAAATACAATAATCAACACTGGAAAAAGGATGAGGATAACTTTTTATTCTTTGAACCAACTATTTCTGGTCATTACCTTGCAATAAACAAGTAACTTGCATTTATTTGTTAGTTGTTCCAAGTTGCAGGCTGTGATCCTTCCTTGAGATGGGAAGAAACACATACGTTAATGTAACTTTATGGGGATGCCTCAACCTTGCCTTTGGTGTCCCTAGGAGAATTCAAGAGACCATTACAGGCACTAGTAAATACTTATAAAAATCTGGTGGTGTTAAGAACAGAATGTCGTAAGCTTTATTCACATAAAGCTATTTTTTTTTTTTTAAAAAAAAAGTCTGTTCTATGGTAAACACTGCAGAGAGAAGTGAAACTTACGATGACTCTGTCTGTGAGAACCAGGAATAGCTAAAACCTGCAAAGCGATTTCTGCATTTTCTTGAATAAACCAAGGATAAGTGAAAACAGAAAAGTACATACTTTATGAGTATGTTCTCATATGATTACTTGAATGATTCTTGGGTCATTTAGTTCACTTTAAGAACAATGGAAGCTGAAATCCTGCATTCAAATAGAAGATGGACAAATGCCCCCCACTACTTTTATGATTTATTTAAGAAACAGAATCTTTGGGTGGAGAAGTTATCCCAGTAGGGTGCAAAAGACAAGCCTGTGGTAAATCACTTTGATTTTTAGATCAGTTTTTCATCCAAAACCTTTCCAGGTATGTCAGGTTTTTCAATATAATTAGTTCCTATTTTGGTTTAAAAAGATATATTGCTAACATACTTTTTGTTTTTGAAAAATAATGTTTTATATATTTTTATTACATTTTGCTAAATTTAGAACATCGCTTTTTTCTTTATGGAAACATCATTCTGATGGCAACGTAGTAGTATTTAAATTGATGAAAAAGAAAATATTAATCTTTCCCTAATGTATTTTCCTTTAGTCAAGGCAGATCATGTTTTCTGCCTGAGTGGCTCTCTGTGCTTATTGGGTGTAGCTTGCCTTAGCTGTAGTCATACATTCTCAAGTACCTTGTCCAAAAGGAGGCAGAGGAGCAGAGCTCTGTGCCCTTTGGTATTCCGAACCTGATCAGCCTCCCTTTTAGTAGGGAATGTTCCCCTACACACACGCTCCCATTTGTGTTTTATATAGGAAATTGAGGTATTGTTGACTGAGACAGGAACTGGGAGAGAAGGTCTTTTATCGTTCATCTTTGAGTGTTCCCTTCCTGTGTTAAATGAAGTTGAAAATCTTGAAATTTTCTAGGAAAAGTGCAGAGTTACGAATGGGTATTGACTCAAAGGGGAGTTTGGTTTTCCTGTGACTTTAATAGCCTTCTTATTCTGCCTCAAATTTATCAGGAAAAACAAAAAGCTCAGTTTTTATACTTCCTGAGACTTCACAGGTCTGAAGTTTGTCATCTTTTTTCTCTCTTCCCCCCACCTTGAACCCCATCTAATCTTAGGCTCTGTCTTCATTACTTGATATAGAGTGATTTGGGGCTCTTGCAAAAACAGGTGTGGTCCCATGAGTTTTAAATGCTCTGTTCCTTGTCTGCCTTCCATGGTTTTCCTTTTCTGTGGCTTCTACTTGCCCTGTGAAGGACATTTATAAACTGAAGAGGTAATTGTGTCTTAAAACAAGTTAACCTGTATTCATGAAGAAAATTTCAGTGGCTGAACATTTTATAATGATCTAACATGTGATTGTGGTTTTATGTAAGGGTGGGGCTGAGATAAAGCAGTGGCATTCTCTAAATAAAGTTTTCAAGTATTCATTGGCAAGTCCGTCATCTGCAAAGTATTTCAGCAAATAAAGCCAGTATGGTTTTGAAAGGGCAAATTCCATGGTTCAAAGGTCCTTAAAGATGGATTTAGCTCCATTTATGAGGAGGCGCTGTGGTCAGTTTGGTACCCATACTAATTTTAGGAATTCAAGCAATTTATTAGTTTATGTAATAAGCCAAAAGATTTGGCAAGGATTCAGAGCAGTTAGCATGACTGAGACAATCAAATACAGTGTTAATATACCTAAACATTTTAGGTTTACTGCTGTGCCCATCACTACATTGTCTAAACATTCCCATGTCTGGGTGAAATGTTAAGATAACGGAGATGCTTCCAGATGACTTCTACTGCATGAAAAGCTCCATCTTCACAAGGACTAGTGCCAAAATTGAGCAACGTTAGGATTTAGACATGATATTTGTATACCACGCTGGCAGTTCTTAGCTGGTAATGAATGTCTGGCTAATAATGGGAAAGCTATTTCATAAATCATGTTCCAAACTACAGCTGTCTCTCTGGAAAGATACTGATTATGGTTGGCTGATTTTGAGTAACGTTTAAAGAAATGATAGAGGAGGAGAGAGACTGCTATTTTCTGTTTAGGGAATTAAAAACAACACCAGCATTTTGAGCTTACTGGCCCTTTTGATAAATATTTTGAGATAACTGTCTCTTATGATGGTTTAATAGATAACTATGCAAGACGTGCTAGGACCCTATTGTGCAATATGTAATTTTATCCAGGTGTATAGTCTAGATCTACAAAGATGAGTCAGGTAGAGTAAAAAAAAATATACCATTGCATTTTAAAATTCAGCAAATGTTCCCAGTTAATAGTGTCTTTTGACCAAACAGCTGAGGTTCTGAATAGGCTGGCAAAGACCAAAGGAAGGAACCATGCAGTGAAGATTTCTTGGTATGACTTTAGGGGCAGTTGTTAAAGCTGTGTGAGATGAGGAAATAGGGTCTAAATCAGGCTGTTGGTATTTCACTTGAGCGTGTGAACATTCACTTAAACAAACAGCATAATTCCATTGTTCCCAGGAAAGTTCTCTGAACACTTAACCGAAAAGCTTGTTCAAAACATTGCAGGAAACCCTCAATTTTTTTTCTTGGATGTTTATATCCCTCAAGACTTTGCAATTTTATCTTTTTAAACTCAGAAATTTTACCTAAATTCTGTCAACAAGAAATTATGTGTACATGGGATACAGGAGGATCTCCTGAGTTTTGTTTCAGGTCATGAGTAGGGAAGTTGATTCATCGAGTGTGTACAGTCCTAGGTCTTTAATACAAATTGTGTACCTGGACAAAGTTGTCTCCATGAGTTTTAGTGAAGCATTTGACTCTGTTCCCCACAGATTTCTCCCAGGAGAAACTGGCTGCTCATAGCTTGGATTTGGTGTACTGTTTGCTGGGTGAAAATCTGTCTGGATTGTTGGGCTCAGAGTCATAGTGTATAGATTTCAATCTGGTTGGCAGCCAGTCACCAGTGGTGTTCACAAGGGCTCAGGAGTTGGCCCGGCTTTGTTCAGCATTTTTATCAACACTCTTGATGAGGGGATGCAGTGCCCCCTCAGTAAGCCTGCAGCTGACTCCAAGTTGGGTGGGCGTGTTGATCTACTTGAGTGTAGGAAAGCTCTGCAGAGGGACCTGGACAGGCTGGTTCAATGGGCCATGTCCAGTTGTACGGCCTTTGGCAGGGCTAAACACTGGGTGCTGCACCAGGGTCGCAACAACCCCACACAGTGCAGGCTCATCTGGCAGAAAAGGACTTGGGGGTGCTGGTCAACAGCCAGCTGACCACGAGCCAGCAGGAAGTTTAGACTGGATGTCAGGAAGAGTTTCCTAATGGAAAGAGTGATTAGGCCTTGGAACATGTTGTCCAGGGAAGTGGAGGAGTCATCATCCCTGGAGGCATTTCAGAGACGTGTGAGTGTGGCATCAAGAAGCACGATATAGTGATGGGACTCAGTAGGTCAAATTGATGGTTGGTCTTGATGATCTTGAAGGTCTTTTCCAACCTAAATGATTCTGTGATTGTGTGGTTTTATTATCTTTAGAAGGAGAATTCTGACTCTGAATGCCCACAGCAACATCTATGTGCTACATATACCACCAAGTGAAGGTTGTGCAAGGTTTCAGAAGGGTATTTTATGTCATAGGAAACTCATAATCTGGACTTGTCTTGGTGCAACTGACTTCATCCCTGGAGAATGCTCTTGCAATGTACATTTACAAAATCATTATGCAGGGACAGAGTACTGTGTAGGTGGGATAGAGGAGTAACAGTTCATTAGAGGTATTGGATATTTTGCCATGGGCCCCAGCTTGCTCAGTTTGCCCAACAAACCTTGTAAAATGAGGTGAATCATTCGCTTGTGGCTACTACTGTTTCTTCCCCAAAGATAAAACTTGTTTTTTCTTTCTTTTTTTTTTTTCTCCAGAAGAAATGTGAGAGGAAATTGTGTGCAGGTCAGGTGTGCTTTGGTGGCTCATATGTTTTACGGAGTTTAAATTTTTTGATGTAGCTTTCAAAGTTTGCAGTAGATGGGTCAACATTTTAGATTGGTTATGGCCCAAACTCCTTTCCAGTAGTAGTTCTGCTGTTCTGATTTCTTGCCTGTGAACTTCTACAGCCATTGTCTGTAACATGCTTCTGTTCTGAGTTTTTCTCTGTCGAGCATGATCCCTACAGACGTTTTTCATCTTCCTTGTCCCTTTTCTGATCTTTATCTAAATCTGCTGCAGTTAGTTCTTTTCCTTTACTGGTACTTGTACTGGCATCAATGCACTTGATTGTGGCTGTAAAACAGCCATAAATGTAGTGCAGTAACAAGAGCTGCATGAGCAATTGTTTCACATGTTATGGTTTGAGATCCAATCCTTGGTGTTCACAGAATAGTTCAAAGTGCATCTTCTTTGTAGTTAAGTAACATCTGGATATTTGTAATGCTATGCATGCTATGGTTTATTCAATAAATACATAGTTGGTGCTGGTGAATGCTCTTCAGATATTGAACGTTTTGGGAAGTATAAACACCAATGCTAAGAATGTCATCTTGAAATTCTTGCAACGTTTGCATTTATTGTTATTAGCCACCTGGAACATCTAATCAGCACTTATCAGCCTAATTGTTATTTACATGTACGCTTAAAGATGAATTTGTAAATGACTATACTTCAAGTTATGCAAAGAAAAGGTAGAATATACAGACTGCTTACTTCTGTCAAAGAGCTTTTTTAATGTTGTGGGACTGTAAAAGCTGCTTGTTCAGGAGTCTGGCTAGTACTTACATCAGAACGTGCATCCTTATCCTTGTTATGATACCGAGTCAAAAACTCAAGTCAATGTCTGGTACCTGTGTGCCAGTATCCAGTAATTATCTGTTATAGGCATCCTGTTAATAACTTCACTCATGTAGTGTCTTATGTTAGGATTTCACTTGTGATGTCTTAGCATTTCTATGTCTGTCCTTTTTTAATAAGAAATTCTCATATTTAGTAACTACCTGATAAAGGATTGTTTTGAGGATGAGTAAGCACCTAACTGCAGTTGATACCCTGACACAATACTGTATCACAGGGTAATATCTCCTCTTTCCCTTTCCACCAGGTTACCCTTGTTTCAGGCAAGTGCTTTTGCATTCTTAGCGCCTGCTAGAGCAATACTTTCCCTGGAGAAGTGGAAATGTAATAATACAGGTAATTGTCGTTTATGCTTGCTCCCATTTAAGTGACAAATGATGTAGATGACATATAGTGCAACTGCTGAACCTTTTCAAACAGAAACTGAAAGTAATGAGCAGGGAATAAAAATAAATAAATCTAATTTTGCAACATTTGAACTTGGTGCCTCCTTGCTTTGGAATAATTCTTAAAATGCCCTTGTGGAATTCTAGTTTTAAACCTTTATATTTATGTCCAATCTATTTAAAGGAGTTAGATAGAAGATGAAAAATGTAAGAAAGCTTTAAGGGAAAATCGAAGGCCTTATAAGAAAACCTGTTCATGTTAGGGTTAACATCCAGTTATAATTTTGCTTCGAGGGAGAGGGGAGGGGAGAGGGAGGAGGAAGAGAGAGAGCTCTTTTAATACTAAGAAATCTGGCAGTAGCTTAAAATAATTACTTTGTTAATATAGAGAATGGCAGAAGGGTTAAATAAATGATTGTGTCCTCTATTTGGAAGTAGTGAGTCCATAAGAGTCCTTTTTAGTTGAGGAGTAGTAGTAGTAATTCTGAGCAATGCTCAGCATCACCGCAGGATCAGTATTTTTTCGCATTCATAGTCTGTGCAGAGCAGGCTTTAGCAACATTTGGATGTTCTTTTTAACTTTTTCTTTGCTACCTTTGCCATCCTGAAAGGTAGTGAATTTATTTATAATGAAAATGTGCAGTAAAACTGGTTGTGTAGGCTGCCTTTTCTTTAATTTAGGTTACAAAACTGAAGTGGAAACAGCTCTGGACGTTTTCTTTTTAATGGGGCGTGGTTATTCAGTAATAAGGTTGTGGGCAGTGCAAGATGGCACTGTATAGAAACAAGACTGCCAGATTCTAATTGAAGGTCTTGGGGGGGGGGGTAGGGAGGCGAGGGTGTTTTGAGGTCCTTTAGATTCTCTAGTGATTTATATTTCTGTTATTTGTGTGTTTATAACAGTCTTCGATTCACTCATGACCACTGAATCAATTTTTCTAGTGTTTTCCTGTATAAAGCATAGCTTTAAGCATTCACATTTTCACACTGGAGTACTCAGCTACTGGGAAAGAACACGTGGGTTTCAGTGCTCAAGATGTAAAGGCATACTGTGGTGTACTTCAGATGTTATGGCTGCATTGGATATTTCTTGACAAAATACGCCAATGTCCTAACATGCAACTTCTTGAAAGAAAAAACTGTCTGATAACCTTTGATTGCAAAAGCAATTTTTCCACTATTTAAACTTTTTAGAAAGAGCCTTTGCTTCATCTTGCTCTTGAACCTTTTAACTTTCAAAAGGTGTCAGATGGGGTTGTTAATATGGGTCAATTCATCATTCAGTGAATAACCTAAATTGGCAAACAACAAACATTGGAATGTTTCCTTGATTCCTAGTGTGCAATTGAGTACTTCTCCATTCCACCATTTATTGGGGTGGGGAAAAAATGATCTATATGACCTTTATTTCTGGAGATTATTTTTTTTTTACCCGCTTTGGTACAGTGGGGTAAAATTAGTGGTTAGCTCTTGGGAAATGTGAGCATGATATTACGCGATTTGTAGCACTGCAGAACTTCTTTTCTGTGTAAATTAAGTCTCATTTGTTAGACACAGCTTAAGGAGAAATGTATTTTTTATTAAATATGGAAAAGTGGCTGAGGAATAAATACCTGTGTTTTGTCTTTTCTTTTGGTAAGATATAACAGTTACAAATGGAACAACAGACCTGCTTCATACTGAGCACATCTGGTATCCCAGAATACGAGAGGTAATGTGGGAGTAGCCTTTAGCTGTTGATCTGTCCGATTTCAGTTAAGTTTCTCATTTAACCATCTGTGTGTTCTTGTCTTTAAGTTGGCAATCTCTTCTTTCACTGCAATTTCATTTGAATATATCCCTTTACTCATTTCATGGAAGTCTTCATTTTTTTCAACTTGTTCGTTGCTGAACAGCAAATACAATCAGTTAGTTGCCACATTCCAAAAGATACTTGGTAAAATGCGCAAGTGAGATGAATAACTGTTCTTGTAGCACTTACCAATTTGTGCTCACCAGTAGCAGTTCAGCAAACCATAAGCTACTACCACTTGCCTTCTGTCACTCTGTTCAGTAGGCTGTCCAGTGGAAGGTAAAATGCAGTTAGCCAATGTGTTCATTCCTAGGTGTCTTAAATTGGAGACTATCCTGATGAGACATTGATTCTCCCAAGATACTTGCTGAAATACACCAAACTCCTTTTCCATTCGCAGCATCACAGTCTGAACTTCATCAGTCTCTGCAGAGCTCACAATGAGGGTTGTGCCCAGGCATCACACTAGGCTGCTAGATAGTGTAGTCCAAATTAAGGCGTGTGTCATGGAATTTATCTCCCATCCCGTTGCTTTGGGCTGCAAACTTTTTCGTAATTAAAAACAACCCCTCTCTCTTCCCCATGTTCAAACCATAGCTACATCCTGCCAAGAGCCCTGCAGCCAAGAGGGCTGACAGTCTCCTGAGACCACAACGCTGCTCTATACCAGCTTCTAAGGAGCACTTGTGAACAATGCAGCATACACTGCCCCTAGGAGCTAGGAGCATCACCTCCGTGGCGCCACCAACCCTTGCCGGCTCGATCTGAGAGCTTAAAGGTTAGCCTGGAACCCAGGTCTCCTGTCTGACAGTGTGATGTGCTATCCACACAACTACCAGACTGGCCCACTGGTCTGTTGTGTAATAGTTTTGTGAAGAAAACCATAAGTGTTATGCTTAAGCAATAAGTCACTTGAACCTAATGAGCTGTTTTATGACGAAAAATTTGCTGAGTTCTTCTGTGTCACTGAATTCTTTTAACTGCAGTTTGTAAGCCAGAGTAGAAAAAGAAATGTTTTGGTTTTGCTTTCAAGATGCAGCTGAACTGTCTCTTTCCCATTTTTGTGTGTTCAGATCCAAGGTGCTATTATCATGTCCTCCTTGATAGAAGTGGTGATTGGTTTGCTTGGCCTTCCTGGTGCCCTCTTGCGATACATTGGACCTCTGACCATCACTCCAACTGTTGCTCTAATTGGCCTCTCTGGTTTCCAAGCAGCTGGAGAAAGAGCTGGCAAACACTGGGGTATCGCAATGTTGTAAGTACTCCTGGGTGTTCTTGTCTTAGGCCAGTGGGTTCCGTCTGGTAAGTTGTCATGGAGGAATTTTGGAGTGCCAATGAAAAACCTGAGTCTGCTTGACTGCCAAAGGTAGCATTGCAGTGCTCCCATCATGGAGAGGAGTACAGTGTACAGGAGTAGGGTCAGCTAGCAATTTGGGAATGAAGACCACAGTGACTCTGGGAGAGGAGGAAGGAAAGGAGGCTGAAAATGAGGTTTGGAGAACAGAGTTTTGTGAAACTAGCTGGTTGGGGAGCCATGGACTGCTGAGTCTGTTAATTTAGTGACAAGTATCCTGTGAAATACTGTTGATAACCAGCCAAATCAGGATGAAAACCACATTTTATGAAGTATGAAATTGGCTGAAGCAGTTAGCATATCCGATGTATAGCAACCACCTTTGTGCTTGCTCTGGAAGTGGAAGGAATGTCTTGATCCAATCAGATTCTGACCTAACTAATCTGTTAGCACAGTACTTTGAACATATAAAGTATTCTGTAAGTGCAGCTTATGATTAAAAGGGCTGTTTAAGACTCTTACTTTGGGTGTTAGCATCATGATTACTGTTGTGTTTTAACCCGGCTGGCAGCTAAACACCACACTGCTGTTCACTCACCCTCCCCCTCCCTCTCTGGGATGGGGGAGAGAAACAGGAAAGTAAAGCCCGTGAGTTGAGATAAAGACAGTTTATTAAGACAGAAAAATAATAATAACAATAATAATAATAATGATGGTAATAGTACTACTACTAACAATGTGTACGAAACAAGTGATGCACAATGCAATTGCTCACCACCTGCTGACCGATGCCCAGCCGAACCCCGAGCAGTCCAGCCCTCCTCCCCGCGGCTAGCCACCCCTATCTATTGTTTAGCACGATGTCAGATGGTATGGAATACCCCTTTGGCTAGTTTGGGTCAGCTGCTCTGAGTCTGTCCCCTCCCAGCTCTTGCTGCACCCCCAGCCTGCCCGTTGGCAGGACAGAGTGAGAAGCTGAAACGTCCTTGGCTTGGTGTAAGCACTGCTCTGCAATAATTAAAACATCGGGGTGTTCTCAGCACTCTTCTCATCCTAATCCTAAACATAGCACCCTACCAGCTACTAGGAAGAAAATTAACTCTGGCCTAACTGAAACCAGGACAATTGCTCTTTTATGTTAAGCAGCTGACCAAAAGGAACACTTGTTTTCCTGTAAAACACATTGCATGCAAGTTGGGACTAACATTATATCAATCATATAGACCTGTGATGAATTGGATGTTGAAACCTGTAATGGAAGTTGATGTTTTGCAGATGGAGAAAACAAGTGAATTTAGGAACAGAGTTTAAATATTACCCAATCATAAAGTATTTCTGGCTTCTGCCATTCAAAAATTGTGCCTTCGTTGGAAATAACTCATAGCCATATAGAGTCACTAAAAATAACTTGATCTCTGCAAGATGTGGCACTTGAATTGTCTCAATTTTTCTGATGAGATAAAATGATTGTATCACTCACTATCTAGCACAGCAGAATAATATCTGTGTAAGAGCTATGATGCTCTATTAGCTGCAGGTGTTATTTGACAAGGTTTTCAGTTTCCAGAAGAATTTTCTGACCTTGCTTGTTCTGCAGGTGCCGGTTTGAAATAATTTAATAATAAAACACAACACATTATGCTCTGTAAAAACAGCAGGTATTCCTGAATTCGTACACTTGTACATCTGGTGAATGAAATGTTTCTTTGGGTACTTAACGTTTTGGTAGTATTTTAAATGACCCAGTATTATTTCTACTATGTAGACAAGCAAACTGAGAAATTAATCTTGATGTTACCAGTGAAACAGTTCAGGACTTCTAGTTGTTGTTTTTATTTCTTGCATGTCTCCTGCTTTAGCCTCTGTCATACCATGCACTGCATGTATCCTCCTCACTGTTTTAAATCATAAGCCACTTTCAAATAAAAATCATGGTAACTGCCTGTCCTCAGGGCTAACATGCCAGAATAGCTGCTGTTAGGGAGTGGAGGCCATCATCTTTCTATAATAGACTTCTGGAGAGATGCCAAAGTGTTTCCTGAATGTGAAGGAAAAGGTGTCTTTATCATTTGACTTTAGTCAGGGGTAAAGGCTATAAATGATACCCTTCTTGTGCAGAGCTCTTTGTTCCTGGAGACTGAGGGAAAATAAAGCTCTGTTTTGTTTTTTTGCATACTAAAACCGATCTTGAATAGAAAATGAAGGGAAGCTTAAAATAAAATCTTTTTTTTTTTTTAATAAATCCGATGAAAACATCATCTCAAATTTCAGAAAACCTTTACTCATTCAGGCAGTTTGACTCTTTCTTTAGTCTTTTTACAGGAAAATGTTTTTTGACTGTTTCAGAATTAAACAACCTGTCCTGGGTTTTTATTTTGCATTGCAGTGGATTTTAGCTGTAGACTTAAGTTATTTTTAACATACAGAGAATCTTAGCAGTTTTGACAAGGGGGAAGTGCATGATACATAAGGCATCTAAAAATTGTAATAAACTAGGTTACTGGTGAACTGCAGCTCACTGGAATTTTGGTTTTGGGGCTCCATTCAGCTAGTTTATCAGCTATGTAGAAGTTAAAGTGCACATACACCATACTTTGGGCTTCTTAAGAATTTTAGACAGATTTTCCCAAGGCAGACATTTTTCAAGTGCTTTTAAGTTTTATGCAAAAACTAGTGAATAACTGCTCTGGCCTGTGATTGGCTTCCAGTTTTCCTGTGTCTTCCGATTTGCTAGGAGTAGCCTTTGTGTGTGGTGCAGACATGGGTACACATAGTTACAGAATTTGAGACAAAAAGAAAAGAGAAATGTAGCCTACCTCTTTGCTAAAGGTTGTCTTAACTCTGAAAATATTTCCGATTCATTTTCCCGTTCTTTTTTACCTGTTTGTTGCAGTACTTTAGAATACAAATGAGGTAGTTTTAGATTTTTGTGGAATAATAATTTATTTAAAATACACTCTCTCATTATATTTTGTCTTATGCTAAATTTAGCATGTACATTTGTATTCTGAGTCTGAACAACCTGAAGGATTATCAGGTTTCTGCTGAGAAGGATTTTTAAAATATTCGTGCTAATGGCATGTCTCTTGTCTTACTCTCCTTTTTTTTCCTCAGGACTATTTTCCTAGTGCTGCTGTTTTCTCAGTATGCCAGAAACGTCAAATTTCCCTTACCCATTTACAAATCCAAGAAAGGATGGACAGCTTATAGGCTGCAGCTTTTTAAGATGTTCCCTGTGAGTAGTTGAACTGGTTCTTCAGTTGGCAAAAGTAAACCAATTTATGTTTTGGGGCTTTTTTCTTGATTTTAATTTTTCTAGATAGTACAGTAGATCACAAAGCTGAGATAAAAGCTTAAATGTGCTTGTGAGGAACTTAACTAAATGGCTTATTTGCACCAGGAAATAGTCTTGTAGTTTTACTAGATAACATTCTGGCATTCGTATCTAATGAGGAGCTGCTGGAGTGATGAAAATGAGGGAGGGGAAGGAAGGGGATAGAAAAGGAGGTAGGCTTGTGCATGTAGTGAAAAGCAAAATGGTGCCCTTCAAAAAAGGAATGGCAAGATCATTATCTTTTAGTTTTATGAAAGCAATACTCTGTTTCTCCATGTGAAAGACTTCCTTGTATTTCTGTGTTAACGTAGACTTAATTCACTTGTTCATGTAAGTGCCAATTTGGAGACTTACCCATTTGTTACAAGCGAGAAGAGTTACTCTAATTCTAAAGCTTTTGTAACAGCACTTTTATTAGAGGAAAAAGATACTCAGTGGATCTATTACAGGGTTTACTGCTTGTTCAGATTTAAAATATCACTTAAGATTGCACACTTCAGATGTGTGCGCAATAGATAGTCTGTGTAGAAACTGCTATTGGTGAATATTGCCAATTATAGTTTATTCTAAACAGCTTCTTTTTTTATATTCTTTCACAGATTATTTTAGCGATTTTGGTGTCATGGCTGCTTTGTTTCATCTTCACTGTTACGGACGTCTTTCCCCCTGACAGTTCAAAGTACGGCTTCTATGCTCGCACGGATGCCCGACGAGGAGTGCTGTTGGTAGCTCCATGGTTCAAAGTTCCTTATCCTTGTAAGTATGTCTGTTTTTAAGGGCTGTTTTCTTCTAATATTTGGCCTATGAGTATCATTTGTGTTCTTCTTAGAAACCCTGCTATCTTTTTCTCAGTACTATATTTAGATTCAGGGCAACACACACTTGTTTTTTTCCCCTTCTTTTGCTCTTTAATGTCATACCTTAAGGTCTCACACAGGAAAGACCAAGACTCTGAAGCCTGAACTTGTAAGGTTTAGCTAGGTAACTCTTGACTCCTAATAATGTGGTTGTGACTTTGTGTGACATGGGTTTGCATGTAATGGTTGACTTATCTCTATGTGTTGATATTGTGGGTAACTGCTGTTAATGTTATACAATAAGAAAGATATATTGTTATAACTCCTGCAGAGAGCTACTGAAATCATTGATTCTTGTTGTCAAAGGAACCAGTAGTGTATGGAATTTTTCCAACTTAATACACTTCCCCTGTCCCCAAACACACCTGTTCTTGAATTAGGACGAATGTTAGGCAACTGCACAAAAACGTCCTGGCTTCCAGAAGTGTTGTTAGAATTGGGCTTATAGAAAAGCCAAAGGATACTAGTTAATGCTTATCAAAGGAAAAAAGGATTTGGAAAACTGTGCAAAATGCTTTACGTGACATCTTCAGTGGTTTTATTCTTTTGCTCTAAGTGTGAAGCTGTTAAAGGCTGTTTCTTAGGACATAAGATAGAATTGTACAACTCATTTGTGCTGCTCAGAAATAAACATCATCATAATAGAATAACGTTCTTCTGGAATAGAAATTATGAATACCACTAGATCTTAATGAAGAGCTTCATTGTGGTTTTCCATATACTTTGATTCTGATTAGCTCTTAGGAGAAACCACTTCTAAAGCATTACTTGCAAAATGTATAATAGAAGGTTTTGGGAAAGAAGAGGCGGAAAACTTTTCGCCACCCTGATTAGACCTTTCTTATTTGTAAAGCCTTGTTCATTCACGTTTGTGTGACTTAAAGTTCCTTTTGTTGTGAGAGGCTCTTCTATTTCAAAGAGATAAAAAGCATCAAGGCAATTGCTGTGGAAAACCTGCCAACCTTTTCTACAGGCTTAAATTAATCTTACTTTCCCTTCTACAAAAATTTGGAATTGGAAGGTGTTTATGCAGTTATCATAGCTGGCTGTTGGATCTTGTCTTTGTTTGGTAGACTAAACTTGCAACCAAAGACTGAGTTTTCAGAGCAACAATAATTAAGTCGCATTTGCCTCACTGATCCGAATTATTGTTGGCTTTTTTCTTTTTTTTCCAAACAGTAGTTCAAATTCCTTCCTTCTGCACATGAGGAATCTTTTTGGTAGGGTTTAGGGTTTTGGTTGTGTTTATTTTATTTTTTTTTTCCCTAAGCTTGATCAAAGCCATTAGTTAGGCATTTATTCCTTTACTCCTTTAATCTAATTGAACTTGCCAGGCTGTGTTACTGTTAAGGGAATTTGTTGATTCCATTAAGGATTAATGAATTGCCATATGTTTTGATATCTACATTGCTTTCTGTGGCATGAGAGATTTCAGTTTTCTTTTCTTCACAGTTCAGTGGGGACTACCAACAATTTCAGCTGCTGGAGTTATAGGAATGCTTAGCGCAGTTGTTGCTAGCATTATTGAATCAATAGGAGATTACTATGCCTGTGCCAGGTTGTCATGTGCTCCTCCTCCACCTATTCATGCAATAAACAGGTACGTCAAAAAAAATTTACATATATACATTTTTCAGTATCTTACACTACTTTTTAAAAACTTTTTTTTAACCCCCGCAGGAGAAGACAGGAATGTGCTCTCAGATTAAGTGTTAAAATTTGGTCAAACATAAGGACCAAGGATCTGAAATGGAAAACACAACAGTCATGTTGAACTCTTGATTCAAATGTAACATTGAAAAACTAGCCCCATTCCTGCTGGAGTCTGAGGAACTTAGTAGTACAGTTTCAGTGAGGACAGAACTCAAATCAGTTCCGGAATCAGTATAGCTTGTTGAATTCACCTGAAGCATGATTTTAGAAATAAGAACAGCTCTAATTTTAACTTCAATTATTTTGTAATTTCCTTTTTTTTTTTTTTTTAAGAACAAGGGTATCTAAGACAAATTAAACAGAACCCAGGGTGTTTTTCCAGGTGTATTGGAACTTGAAATGTGAATTATAAAATCCTGTGGTGCAGATGCCTGAATAGGCACGACAGTCATGAAGCACGATCTGAAGTGAACCTACACTAATACAAGTTTGACATTTTTTTCTGTTTGTGAATTACAGAGGGATTTTTATTGAAGGTCTCTCCTGTGTTTTGGATGGAGTATTTGGGACAGGGAATGGATCCACTTCTTCCAGCCCTAACATTGGTGTCTTGGGCATCACAAAGGTATGTTCTTTACCTTGATCAGTCAGTGGTCAGTGACTTGAGTATTTTATCTCCTCTGGTGGTTGGTTTATGCCATTTTCACATTTCACAGCATAATCCTCTTCCGCAAAATAGTATTTTGTGCAGACAAACTTCATAGAGTACTCTGAATTCATGTAACTTTCTGTACTAGACCTTGTCTAATAGAAATCCATTCTAGATAAGGACCCCAAAAATCTTGTTCATTCAAAGTAAATAGCATTTAGAAAATGTACGTAAAGCAGATGATACTAAATAAAGTGTCCTTCTGAAAAACAAGTAAGTATTCTAAGGCTCAATGGTGTGTTGTTTTTTTTTTGAGGCACAAACACTATTGACAGTATAGAAATTGATATTTTTTGGATGTCTAGACTCTGATAGCAACTCTAGAGGACTGACTGTTTCTAGCGTCTCACTTTATACACAAAATAAAATGGAAACTGAGATCTGTAGGTCTTACCCACAACTGTATTAGGACATGACACTGACACAACTAGAACTGAAGATCTGGTAAAAGTAACTTCAAATTTACATGTATGCTAAATATGTCTCCACTGTGATAGGTTTCTAAAGCACTGAGCATGCTTAGGGGAATGCATATTTTTGGGGATGTTACTTAACAAAATATTTAAGCACTTGAGAAATTTGTTCACGCACTAAACTGCATGCATGTGCTTGAATGCCCAGCTGAACTGAGAGACCTTGGACTGCAGAGAGATTTGCTTGGCATTGTTAATTTAACTGTGTTAAGAAATACTGGCAAAATTGGTAAGATAATTTACGTTGCAAATATGTACAGCTTGCTGTGTATTTGGTTTGTAAACTCTAAATCTATGTAATGAATACAAGATATAAAATGCATGCACTCCACTTAAAATAAGTCATCCCCCTTGCTTAATCTAATATAGATGATGAATTTATCTTCAGCCATTTTTTTTCTGCACAAAGGATGGCTTTGTTTGCTTTTGGAATAAAATATAAATAGTAATAGCACCATCTGCTGTCTGTATAAGTCTTCCTTTGAGTTGTTGGTGGAAATTTCCTAGAAGAAATTTGCTAGAAAAATCCTTAAAGAAAGGTTTATTCTGTTCTGCTCTCTCTGTTATTCACTTCATATTTATATGAATTAACAGTGCTTTTTTATTAAGAGTACACAGAAATGAGCATGTATTTTGCTTTGAAAAAAGCAAAAGAACGAATGTTAAGCTGGCAGCTGTTATAGAGAACAGAGTTAACTACAGTTAGGTTTGTTCAGAGAGCGTGATGGAAAAGTGAGTAAGCCTTTTCCAGGATTGCACAGTTGGATTGCTGTGTCCTGTTTTCCTGGTTGAACATTTGTCACTAAAACTCTAATAGTTTTGCAACTTCAGTTTATTTAAAAATAGATTTTTTACTACTTTGATACTCTGCTGTTTATTTGTGAGAAGCTATCTCCTGTGTTCATGAGCAAAAAGACTATATAGTCCCAGTGATCCCATTATACTGATGCAACGTTTCAGAAGGCATATACTTTGCTTCAAATCAGTATATGGTTACATTTTAGAATTTAAATATGAGGCTTTTACTGGATGGTAATACTGCAAAGTCTTTGAGCTAGTCTGTGAGTGAATTATAGTAGATGAGAGGGTAATTGATGAAAATGCATTTGTTGGGCCAAAATTATAGTCAGCTTATGCCATAATACTGATGATGATCTGTAAGGAACTAAGTACCATATCCTTATTCATGCACTTCAAAATAATTACTTAAAGAATGTGTACAAGTTCCTTGGAATAATTACATAGTTTTTGCTATATGCTGACCAAGATGCTTTCAGTAGCTTTTAAAACTCTATTGGAGCTTAATCTATTTTACTTGTAGAGAATGATGATTTGCATAATCCAGTCACTGTCATTATTTTTCTTTTTTTAAAGAATCTGCCTATTTTATACAGCAAGTTAATTTTAGAACAAGGTTATTGTTGATCATAAGGAAATGAGTGTTTTTATTTAAATAGGGAAAGTTGTAAGCTAGCTCGCTGTTCTACTGAAACACCAAAATTTACTGTCTAGCTTCTTTTTGTAGGTGAACATGTCTGATCTAACAGTTAAACAGTGAAAAATATAGGAGGAATAATTTTACCCTAAAAATGGCTAGTATATTTTTTTTTCTTGGTATAACTTATTTAGCTCAGTCACACATGATTAACAAATTAACATCAGCTTCTCTTTGGAGCATAGTAATCTCTAAAAGACAGACCTACAAAGAGCTTTGCTAGTACCTACGTTATCAGCGTAACAAAATTTTTGTTGTTGTTTCCAGTGGACCTCTTAAGCAAATACAACACTATTTAAAATATTGAACATTCAGGTTTACCATCTACTAATACTACATAATGCCAGACAACTACTGCCCTAAAGTCTGAATGCTTAAAATGGGAAGAAAGTGCAGACACTTGTTTTCGGTGGTAGCGTGGCCATGATTTGCATATGAAGCAAATTCAGTTCTGATCTTGGTGGAGTATTATAAAATCACTTGATAATTTATCTAGAAAGGCTACATCTGCTTCAAGTGAACTATGTGGAAGATGATTTATAGATAGAGATACATTATTCTTGTGTAAAAGGGCAGCAACACATGGTATTATTTTGTTGTTTGCACTACAGTTGATCTGTTTGCAATCACTCCTAGTTATTGTTGGTTTATTTTTTTATTGTAGATGGGACCATGCCACAATTCATGGTTATAGTGGCTATAGCAGACAAAGATGGTTTTGTTAACGTTAATGAAAACAAAGTCAAACAAAGTTTTATGTTAGAACTGGACTGCAGCCATGTTACAGCTGAGTCCTCCAAGACATTTGCAAAGGGTCTGCAGCTTGTGTTTTAACTCTGCAAAGATATATGGGGAAGCTTGCAAAGAAGCTTTGAATCTGAAAGAGAATAATAAAATAAGTTGCAAGGCACAAAGTCGGACAAAGTACAAACTTTTTCCAATGTGCTTTCCTTTTTGTTCTCGTGCAGGTTGGAAGTCGCAGGGTTATACAATATGGAGCAGCCTTCATGCTCTTGCTTGGGATGGTTGGCAAGTTCAGTGCTCTCTTTGCATCGCTGCCTGACCCTGTGCTTGGTGCCCTCTTTTGTACTCTCTTTGGTAACGTATGGTTTTTGCTCCTCTTTGTGTATTCTGTGGCAATATCTTTTTACTCTAGTGCTGCATTTATCTTGCCCCCCCCCAATGAAAAAGTCTAAAAGCTGAGACTTGTACTATTTTTTTTTTTAATTTAGGGATGATTACAGCTGTGGGTCTGTCAAACCTCCAGTTCATAGATTTAAATTCTTCTCGCAATCTGTTTGTACTTGGATTTTCCATTTTCTTTGGGCTTGTCCTCCCAAGCTATCTCAAACAGAATCCACTGGTGACAGGTATGTGTTTCTGTTCATTTACATGAAGCATATTTTTACCTAATATTGATATACAAAGTAGATACAAGTACAAAGTAAATAAGAGGAAAACAAAATATTGCAGAGACAATAAAAGCTATAGGTAAGAAGGCAGGTACATTCAGAGGAAAATTATTTTGGATCTTGACAGCTGAGTTGATGTTTCAGTGTGATACGTCTCAAGTTGTCTTGCTTTATTTGGATAAAATTGTGGAGCAATGCAAGGACACAGTTGCCAGCTGGACTGGAATAAGGACTGGAAAGGTGAATCTGAGTTTTAAATAATGTCAAAAGAGGAGGAAGGGGAAATACCAAATTAGAACTTGAAAACTAGAAATGTTTTCATTTTCGAACATTCTTTGTCTCTCTAGACATGCGTTGAGCCTGAATTTTAATGAACTTGATTCAAACTGTTGGCAAATCTGCAGATTTATTGAATCTATGGAGAAGCGGTTTTGGTTTTGATTTTTTTAATACTACCTCCTCGATAGTGGTTATGACAGTGTTATTTTAATCCACGTGATATTATATCATGAAAATTTTCCTTTTCTATTTTGAAGTTTTCTATATAATTTCAGTTATACAGTTGTCTGTGGTTGAAACTTAAACAGTATTTCATGACATTTTTAAAAGCAGCTGAAAATTCATGGAATTTTTGGAAATAAGGGGTCCCTGTGGTGGACCATATTAGTTTAAAGTTCTCCCACATTAAATGAATAGGATGTAATAGGATATGTTAAAAATTCAAATACTAATTTTTTTTTCCTTTCTGTTCCTCTAGGAATAACAGGCATTGATCAAGTATTAAATGTTCTTCTCACTACAGCCATGTTTGTTGGTGGCTGTGTTGCATTTATTTTGGATAATACCATTCCAGGTCAGCATATGAACTTGTAATTTTACTTGAAGTAATGACTCTTGTACTGAATTATGATAGTTCTTCATTTCAAGGAAGGCAGGACATGAGGAAGTGATTGCCGCTTTTATTCTATTTTTAAACACCTTCCGTAGACTGCTTCGTTCCTGTGTGCTTCAGTTTCCTTGATAATGCTTTGAATCTTGTTCAAGTTAAGGACTTCATCTTCTTTAAAGATAGAAGATAACTGGGAAAAAAAAAATGAAACCAGAGGAGAATTATTCAGAAAATACAGTAAAAATATTTTAGGATCCAAACTTGCTTCCATTCATTTGAGAGCAAAAGTTTGCCTCAAATTCCAAATATATACTAAAACAGACACTCGCTATTTCCAATATTTTTTCCCTTTTTTCTACCTCTTTGAGGATTCTAGGTCTTTTCCAGTGCTTTGCTGAGACTTGAGGCTTTCTTTCTTTCTTCTCTTACCTCAATTACACATGTGTGTGTCTGTGTATGTATAAATCTACATGTGTACCTATTATTTATTTATTTATTTTACTTTTAGGAAGCCCTGAAGAAAGAGGAATAAGGAAATGGAAGAAAGGGGTTGGTAAAGGAAGCAAGTCACTGGATGGCATGGAAACATATGATTTGCCCTTTGGCATGAACTTCATAAAAAAATACAGGTGTTTCAGCTTCCTGCCCATCAGCCCTACCTTCATGGGTTACACGTGGAAAGGCTTCAGGAAAAGCAGCAACTGCAGGAGTTCAGATGAAGACTCAGAAGCTGCAGTATAGCCTTAGTTGAAATTATATTATCTAGTTGTAGTAAGAGATGTATTTGCAGTTTCTTGCTGATTAAGAAGCATTAAAATATATGTTTTGTATATCTGCATTTAAATTCTGGAACCAGAGCTGAGACGGATTTAAAAAAAAAAAAAAAAGCTTTCCTGTTGTGGGTGGTGGTAGCCAGATCTAGTGTCTCTGAGTCAAATTTGCAAATACTCCTGTTTGATTTTTTTTCCAGAAACTACAGATACCTGTATACACAAATCTGTTTATTTAAAATGGGGCTTAGATTCCTGAAGTATTTAAGTGCTATGGAAAATTTTACTTTTTATAGTGATTTTAAGTCACTGATAATGCCAGTTTGGCTTATTCATTGCTTGTAACATTAGTTATGCCATGAAATTTGGTTCCTATGGAGGAAAAAAAAATCTAATTATGTCTAATCACAAATATTGTTTTCTAACCACTGATTTGCACATTCCATACTTTCTGATCCCTGGAAACCAGACTGAATTTATACTGGCAAATCATAAGAGTATTTTTCAAATTACTTGATAGTTCAGTTAGATGTCCAGTGTTAGGACAGAAGTTTCCATTTGCACGTGAAAATTATGACCGACTTTCGCTAGCTTGTTGCTTTAGAAGATACCACTCACTTCTTGTCAGTTTGCATTTTTAAATGTTTTCTGCCTGGCTTTTAACCACCTAACTGGTGTCCAGGCATAGGTTTTCTTTGAAGGGCCTTATGTAGCTTGAGTTTTGTAGAGATAAGAGACTTAACTTCAGATGGGACCTGATAACTGTTCTTATAGCAAAACGCATTTATCCAGCTAGATGTTTTCTGAACAAAAACAGTAATTAGTTAAACGGTTCTAAGCAATTAACATCTGTATACATACAGCTTTTCCTGTGGGGAAAACCAGATAGTCAAATTGCAGCCAGCGTTTGCTGGTATGGATCTGTGTAAAATTTTCTTGTTTGGATGTTGAGAGCCAGTGCTGCCTATGAATGGCTTCTGTTGCATTGCCTAATTTTTTCCCTCTTTTGTGGGATTACTACAAAAGCTTGCTACTTCCAGAGAGGTGAACTTAAATGACAGAGACACTACATTTGATGTCCTCATCCACTGGGTGGTTTAACGGGTATTGGGTCCAATCAGGACACCATTCAGATTTTTTTTTCCTGGAATAGTCTCAGTTCTGATGTTATGTGAGTGTTCATGCTCGTCATGCATTCATAATTAAAAGTTTTATTCATGTTTAATGTTCTTACTATTGCAAGTTAGTTTTAGACTTCAGTGTGGCCCCAAAAGCATTTTTAAGCTGTGGAGATCATCAGGGAAATGTAGTGTAATGTAATTTCAAGGCCAGTATGCTCTACGGTGCTTGCATTTTGTATTCCTGGAAAAACGTAACAGTAGATCCTGTAATTCACTAATATATTTATCAAAGTTTGACTACTGGACAGGAGCGCAGGAACTCTGTTTTCTCTGAGTCTACTTCCACGTGAATGTTGTTGGTTATTGAAGCATGGAAGGGTTGGGGTGGGGAGGGCAAGGAAAGAGCTTAATGGATCAGTACTGAATAGTGTAGGATCAGAATGATTCCATTGATATCCTTTTCAGCATGTCATGGCTGTTTCCAGAAACTATTTTATGCCGCTTTTTCCGTAACAAAGCATGTGTGTGTCCCTGCTTTAGGGAACTTTCAATAGTTTGCAGTCTCGGTGTCAGTTGGACTATCTCGAAAGCTGGTTGGAAGAGTTATTGTGTCATAGACAAAGGTTAGTTTGCCTGTAAAACTGTCATTTTTATCATTTGAAATTTTGCTCTTTGGGTAGTGAGGTGTTAGATTTCCACATCCACTTGCAAATAGTTTGAGTGCAGAAACCTCTAATTAGTAATACCAAGCTTCCAAATTTCCCAAATTTATGTGCAACCAAAGATGTGCGGGAGAGATGGAAGAGTTAAGAATAAGTAAATAAACTAAAAATGGAAACAAACAAAAAAAGACACCTGTATATGGTGGTTATTATCATGTAAAAATGCCAAAGTTGATTATCTTTAAAATGTTGAGAGAGGCAAAGTTTTGGTATTTAGAACAGTGCCACCTTGTAAATACTGAAGTGTTTCAGTTCCAGTGATGCTGTGAACTGAGACAGCTGTGTTGTGAGGCTTTTCTAATCTTTTCCCCCAAATATTCTTTTGACAACATGAATGCTTACACACTGAAGAGATCAGATGATGAGAAATAACATTTTATCTTCTCTCACCTTTGGCTGGAGTAAAGCTGTACATTTTCTGTATTGCCTGAACTGAGCATGTCAGAAAGAATTGCCGAGATGATTTGTGGCACTTAAGTTATGGCAACAACTCCAAGGATTTTTTCTTTCTTCGTGGGGCAGAATACCACCCTTTTCTTGCAGCGTAGGAAAGACTATCCAAATAGGTGAAATCAGATTACTCTGTCAAACTTGGATTTAATTCTTTCTCAACTTTTGGTTTTACCGGACTGATTCTGTTGACTGGCTGAGAAGTGCAGTAGCGTTTAGCTGGCATGCTTTGCTTTTCTTGCCACTTAACATGGTAACACTAAAATAAGTAGTTGTAGTTAGCAGTCATTTTTGTAACCAAATTTGTTATCACGTGTAACAACACTGTCAATCTTACTAAAAACATTAATGGTTAAAGATGGGCCTCAATTTAGCAGTGGAGATCTGCTGAAGCACCTGTAATGTATAGGGAAAGGTTACGATGAAGTTAGTGGTGGTACCCTGGACATGCAGGGAGTGTTCTGATACATCTGCTGCATCTCAAATATTTATATTAAAGCATGCATCTCTTCAGTGGTTTGAGGTGAGCAAAGGACAGAACTGGTACATAATTCGCCTTGGAAAGAGAAGCTCCCCTTTCTCTTTCTGATGCATCTGAAACAGTCCCAGAGAAGATGCAAATGCAATGCTTGCTTTTCTTTGCGATGGAAATGCTCAGAATTGCCCCCATTTTTGTACAGTTGTGGCAGGCAATTGCAGACCCTAAGTACTACTCCCATGTACACTTTTCTACATTTGAGTCCTAGAGTGGCTGTTGTGAAATGTGCTTACCTGGAAGAGCATAGTTTGCAGTCTGAGCTGCTGTGCAGTTGTTGCTGGCAGATGTGTTGCAGAGGGTTAACTTGCAGTTTTGAAAAGCATTTAAATTCTTTGTTTTAGCTGTTTACATCTAGGATTTGATGTGTAAAGGTGGCTGGATATAGAAATATGTCAGTAAATGCAATACTGTACTTTTTCTATAGGTAATTGCCTGCCTTTCAAATTGCTGTGTTGAGCAAAACCACATACAGAAGACAACACCTCAGAGATGAGTTAAGAGGCAATGAGATGTTTCAACCAAACTTTAAGATGGAAGGGCAAATATTCATGGTAGAAATATCATTTTGTCATATCTAAGATGGTATAAATGTATGCAAAACAACGTAACTTGGGACTTTTGTAATTGATATTCTATTGTATTTTTTTAAGTTAAATTAAGAATTCTTGCTAACATGTTTAAACACTTTTTCTAAAGCAAATACTTGCAAATTATACCTTTAGAAATTTAGGTTTCATAGCGAACTCAGCTATGATTAATGTTGTCATATTAGAATGTGTTGGCAGAGGAACTTAATCAGTTGCCTCGCTCAGAAAGTTCAAACTTAAACCCTGAATTTGCTTTATGCCTTTTAATACTGACTTTAAATATGGCAACTTGGTTTGTACATGAATATTGCAGTATTTTATTTCCATATATTAAAAAATAACATTTCCACTCAGGATAATTACCACAGTTCTCCTGGGAGGGAGTGGTATGATTGTCATGACAATGTCATGTGATGGTAGAATTTCTTCATTGACGAATCTATAGTAGTTGTGTATACTTTATTTACCCATGTTTATGTTTCTACCAAAAACTGAAGGGTTTCTTTACTGTTCATCTCCCTACTGAGATCTTGATACTCCCAATGCAGAATTAGCACTTGCAAACTGAAATCCTTGGTACTATTTATACCACAAGGAGCATCAGTCAAGTGAGACTGGACCAGTCAATTATGTATTCTTAACAAAGGTGTCGAAAATTGTGTAATTTGTGGTATAAACAGCACTACAGGCACATCTGGTGTAATAACAGCCAGCTTCTAATGGTTTCAGTTAGCCATTGGATCTTTATACAATCTAAACCAACTTGTGCTTAACATATGTATATCAGTGTAGAAAATGCATGTGACAGACCAGCACAGCAAACAGTGTTTCTTTTATGTGGCCTTCTTAAACCATAATCCACTTTTTTTTTTTTTTTTTTTTTTGGGGGGGGGGAGTAAGTGGGTCACTTCCCCCCAAAAAAAACAAAAAATAAACAAAAAAAAAAACATCCCACTAAGTACATGTTTCTTAGTATTTCTTGCCAAGGCCAACAGCCTTTTTGGGGCATGGGATGACAGATACTCTATGCTCTCATGTTTCTGTAGCTATGGTAAGTCATTACAGTATTGGAGGAGGCCACAAGTTTGCCAGTGTTTAGCTTCTGCCCATGAGTCTATACAGCTTAGTGCTGGGCTGCTTTTAAGTATTGGGGATTTGTGTTCAGAAACATCCAAAATATTCCTGTCTAGTTCTAATTCGATTGTGACTGTGCATTGCCATCCATACATACTGATATGAGAGAGATATTTAGAATTGCCTTGTGTATTATCTGGCATTTACTACATCTTTCCAGGTAAGTCATCTTGCTGCCAGTCCAAATTATTGTACTTTGTCTCTTTATAACAACCTTTGGCGTAACAAACTGTTCTTAGGCAGTGGGGATAAATATTTCTTTTTTCATGATATTTTGTGACTGACTTTGGCTGTAAAACTTTTTTGTTAAACAGCAAGAGGGTTTTTTTTTTCTGAGATGTGTAATTCTTTTATGGAGTTTTTTAATTTCATATTTTTTCTAACATTGCTTCATTAAACAATTAAATATTTAAAAATGTAATATTTGGACCAGATGTTGTGAATAATAGTAGATAAAGCTATTTTATTCTGTATTTTTAAAGCTGTTCAGTATAAATAAATGCGGGCATAGATGCAACTTGGTGGCATGGTGTTATACTTGCTTTTAACATTCTTTTAAAAGGAGAATCAATATTTTGGGAATCTAGGTGATGTGAAGACCCACATCTCATCATAGCAACTGCCATCTGAAAAGACAACCCATAGACATCTGCCTGACACTTCCCGCTCAAGACACTTTAAATCTTGATTTATTTGGAAGAGGCATCATATACAGTGTGTGTGTCTTAGACCAGTTTAGGCAGCCAAGGAGCAGACAAACTTGATATAAAGGCAATTCCATAGCACTGATGTGTGGCTGAGCAGTGTCCATGAAGTAACTTCTAGTAACTGATTTCCTAACAAAAATAAATCCCACAACCTTCAAGTTCACTTAGGAAGTTTCACTGAGCAGCATCTTTGAGTGACTCTGTAGTTATGAATATGAGCAACAACAAAGTGTTAATAGCAGGGAAATAGCCTCTGGTTTTGTAAAGCCTTAGGGTTATGAGTTTGTCTACATTTTTGCCCTTTCTTTAGCAATCTGCAGCCAACGTGAAATCTCTTGGGGCCCCTTGTCAGGATTGCTGCTTGGCCAAAACAGTCTGCAGGGGTAGTAGGAACACTGACAGTGGATTTGGAGATGTGAGCTGTCTTCTCAGGCAGAATTTAAAGACACACTTTGCATCACTCTGCTTCTTCAGCAACATTTAAAAACAATAAGCTGAATATCACCTTGCCTTATCTCCACTCATTTAATGAACTTGGATGTTTAAGCTGGGGTCATCATACGAGATCCCTAATGTTAGCTGGAGCACCAGTGATGTTCAGTGGCTACTTATGGCAAACTAGGAGCTGAAATGTCTCTCCGAGTACAAACACAGCATCTTCAGTCATCTGTCAGCTTTCAAGGTGTCTGAAAAACCACTGATTTTAAGAGGAATTAAAGCCTGTAATTACTTGGGTGCCTAACTCACAGCACCAGTCTGAAAACTGCATAGACTAGTGGGCAACAGAAGGAAAGAAAAATGGTAAAAAGTCACCTAAAGCAAGAGCTGGGCTGGATTTGTATCTACAAGCTACAATGACAATCACTCTGATCTAAATCTCAATTAATCCTTTGACTGGGTCAGAGCTCTGAAAATACTTGGGTTTCTTCCTTGTGTCTTGTCTGAATCAAAATTTAGCATCAGCTGCAGCAGCTCAGAAAGGAGGGCTTTACGCTGGGCAGCATCTCAGAAGTATTTTAGGAATGACTGAGACATTTGGTTTATTCTGAAATGGGGACAGCAACCACGTTGTGAAGAAGTACATATTAGGTATGAACAGAATCCCTTAGACAAGCACATCTTTTTCCATCTGCTTCCTGGAGGCTGTGTAACAGCTAGCAGATGCTCCTGAGCTAGCATGATTCCAAGTGCATAATATTCTTTGGTATTTACTGACAATTACCTTGGGGGTCTTAAAGTTGAAATAGGGGTAAGTGTGAAAGAAGTGAATTTGGATGCTTGCTCAGTCCAGGGGGAATTTGGGAGTATTTTGGAGTGAATGCCCTACGCTTAGGTCCTCACCATCCTGCCTCACTTAATGGGAGTGGAAAAAAATCCTTCAAAATCAGAGGTTTAAAAGGCATCAGCCATCTACCCTGCATGCCATTTAACACGGAAATGCTGATTTAACCTGTGAAATGGGCACAGTGTACCTAATGGCAGACTTCAAAACCTCCTTTTCCAGTGAGATTTCTGGCAGCAGGAAGAGTTTGGGTTTGCTTGGGTTTGTCCCAGCTGGAGGGACCATGGCAGGGCAGAGTTTTGGGACTATTTCTTTCACTTGGGTTTGCTCTCTCAGCTGCTGTGTGGGTGAGGTCTCCCTCCTGTCAGCACCTGCTGTGTTTGTGGCTTGGGAAGCCGTGTATGAAGACACTTAAATTCACCTCCCCTCCTGGGCCAACTAATTCCTCGCTGCAGCTTCCATGTGGAAAGAGGAGTGGGATGAGAATGAGTGCCTCCATCTGGGCTCCATCCTACCCATGGTGGAGGCCACGTGCATGCTAAGGGTGGCGAGCAGGTGCTACAAAATCAGGCTTTACCCCCACTTCTGCAACTTTGTGCCTGCACGGGTACCTGCAGCAAAGCCCTGCTTGCTTTTTCCCCCTTTTGTTTTTGCTCTGGTTGCTTTGGAGATAAACCCCTAGTTTTGGGGGTTTGCACAGCACAGGCGGCTCTTCTCCATTGTGCAGTGTGGCCAGGCTCTCCCTGCCACAAAGGGCCTCTCATCTCTGCCAGCCCTTCAAGATGCTGCTGGAATATAAATAATAACACCCCCCCCCCCTTCCTGCCTGCTTTTGCGATGTCAGTGTTTTCCCCTAGCCAGATGGCTCCTCGTGAACTTCTCATATTTTACATACAAGTCAAAAACAAACAAACAAACAAAAAGATTACAATATTGCAGTTGTGAAGAGCTGCTTGTTTTGCTAAACCAGCTGTTCGGATTATTTCTTTGGGTCAGGATTTTTAATTTTTCCCCCAGTGTGGGTTGTTTCTACTCAAATTCCTTAAAAAGGAAAAAAGGCCCAGAGAAGCCACAAAGCACTGGGAAAGGTCAAGAGCAGACAAAGGCGCCGCTGCGCTTCTGGAATACTCAATGCCTCTGTGCCTCCCCGAGCCCTCCCCACAGTGGCATGGGGCACACAGCAGGATGGGACCCCAGGAACAGAGGCTGAGCAGTGTTTTGGAGGTAACCCCCACCCTGTGCTGCAACATCTGCTTCCATGCTCATTTTTATTTGTATTATTATTATTATTATATTTTTAATTTCCTCTTCAATCCCCATCTTGTGGGCGGTTTTGGATCCAGGCACGATCCCACAGCTGCGGACAGGATGCTGACAGCCCACAGCCCCGCGCTGTCCCAGAAATAGAAGGGCTCGGTGTGAGGCGTGCATGGATGTGACAACGGTATCACAGCCATTTTAAGGTGAAGCCTGGAAAAGCTCCCCCAGGCCGTTCCGCACGGAGCTGGAGCCGATCGTGGGAGCGTTTCCAAGCTGGCTCTGTGGGATGGGGCATCCTCTGGGAACCCAGGTGCGGTACCCGGGATGCGGCATCCTCCGGGAACGCCGTCCCGCAGCGCAGACGGGATTTGTGCTCTCCTTTGGGAGCCCCCCTCCGGCTCCCTCGGGGCTCCCCATCCCGCCTCCGCCCCCCCCCTGCCGGAGCCGGGCTGCCCGCGGGGCCCGGGCACGGAGCCCGCCCCTCGACGGCGGCGTCCTGCGGGGATCGTTGGGGTCGGGGCGCCCCCCGGCTCCCTCCCCCTCCCTCGCCCCGCCCCGCCCCGCCCGGCCCCGCCGAGGGGCGGCCCCCACAGCAGCGGCGGAGCGGCGCGGAGCGGGGCCGGGTGAGTGCGGGAGGGACGGGGCGGCCGCCAGCCCGCTCCGGCCCCGGCCCCAGCGCAGCGGGAGGGGGCCCCGGAGGGCGGCCCCGCAGCCCCAGCCGCGGCGGGGCGGCTCCCCCCCAGCCCGGGGTCTGGCCCCCCACGCCCCCCAGGGCTTCGCTCTCTCTTTCGGAGCCCGCTGCTGGGAGGGAGCCGCGGGCGTCCGCAGGGCCCCGCACCTGGGCACGACGCCCCCACCACAGGCCCGTGGCTGCCACCGCCCCCAGCCCCTGCCTTGCGGCCCCCAAGGAGCCGCTGAGGGCTGCTGGCTTTGCTCGGGGGCCTGACCCTGCCGCACACGGACGGGGGGTACCCCTGGCTCGTCCCCCGGCTCGTCCCCGTGCTCGAAGCTCGCCCGCAGCCTGGGCGGCATCGCCCACCGGCATCTCTGCCACCTCTCACCGCTCCCCTCCTTTCCCTTCGCAGGACGGAGCTGAACAATTGTGCTGGCGAACAATAGCAGCGCTGGAAAACAATGGAGCTGCTGCACCTTCACGCTTAGCACGAGCACTCAGAAGAAATCCCAGCTCGGAAACAGGGCCTGGGCCAGAGCTGTCCCTGCGCCATCACCGCTGCACAAGCAAAGCACAGCCGGGATCTGCCAGAACAGGGTGAGACCGTGCAGCCGCTGCCCAGCATGGAGCGAGGCTCTCTTGGAGGCTCCCCGTGCCTAGAAGGGAATTGTCACCTTCAGCTACTGCTTTGCCTCTGATTGCGTCGCGATCGATGGATGTGCTGTTGGGCGGGTTGAAGCCCGCCCCGTGATGCCCTGGGCAGGGTTTGGGCAGGAGAAGCATCCCCAGGGAGTGGGATATTCCCACAATCCCTCACACAGCTGGGGGAGGACTCAGCCTGCTGCAACCACTCTCCCACTCCGGAGCATCCGTGGCAGTGAGCTATGGGAGGGGGTCAAGAAAACAGTCCCAGAAAACAACCCTTCGTTGCAGGAGCAGGGCTGCACCATCTCTCTCCCACTGAAAAATGCAATCATTAATTATTTTTCTATTTTCCCCCGCCACACACTTTTTTTTGCTGACTTTGAGCTGGGCATCTCTCCAGGAACTCTGCAAAATCAGGCATTCAATCCTGGTCTGCGCTGTGGAGCAGATGGGGCTGTGGGGATCAGGGAAATGATCTTAGGAAGGTTATTTTTAGGGGGAGGAGGGGCATGTTTGGGTTTGAAAGCAATGGTGACAGCAACTGATGGGTCATATTTGAAGGCAAAGAGTGCTAAGTCCTCCTGCCACAGCAGCAGAGACCATTGATTTGATTAATTTAAAGTATTGATACAGCCCTCAGGCTGCTCTGTAAACTAGTGATGAAATCTCAGCCTGTGACAGACATGAAGGAAATGCGTCAAAACGGGAAATTGATGCATGGGGATGCCTGGAAATTCTGACCATGCCAAGCTGCAGAGGTTGAGCAACCAGCTGGGCAATTTGCATGCTTCCAGCTATTTAATTCTGGTGATTTCCAGTGCTGCTAGGTTTGCCAAAGCCATAGCAGAAAATCTGTCAGTTGTTGCTTGGGGATCTCCGTTGGCTGCCATGCTGCGCCACGCACAGCCTGATGCTCTCAAGAGCCAAAAAAGGAAGAATCTGCCCTGTTTCTGGCTGCTCGGAAGGGGATGTGATAACGGAGGTGAAGGTGGTAGCGCTGGCTGGGCTGCAAGGTGGTAAACAGGAAACCCAGCTCCTCAGTGCCAGCATTCAGGGCACAAACCTGCTTTTTGGGGCTCCCCTTCTGCTTCAGAATGCCTGGATTTTACCTCAATAGGGTAAAATGGGTTTGGCTTCACCCCTTCTTATCAGCATGATACTAGGAGTGAAACTTCCTCCTGTTAGAGCAGGCTCCACCCCTTACACAGCTACAATGCAAAGGGGGTTTTTGGCCAATTTGATATTTTTGGCAACACTTTTGCATGACCCAAGCAAACAGCCATGTAATTGAATCCTTCCTTAGTGGTAATTTCCACCCAGTCTTCATCTGGTTTCAGAGGATACCCATGAGCAAGACATCAACACCAGCCCATGTATCACAGCTGCCCGTGCTCTGCATAAACCCCAAATTTGGGTGTCGTGCCGATGCTCTGCTGGTGCTGGGATTCATCAGCATTCCTGCAAAAGCAGGATGCAAAGTCCCCTCTCTATATAATTTTTAATATGTACATAGGGTTATTAAATTCTTTGCCTATTCCTGCTAAGACCAGTGAACAGTGTGGATGGGGAAAAGGCGCTCTGGGCATGCATCTGCAGCTGGGCTTTGCCTTGAAACAGCTTGGGGCAGCACCGCAACTCTTCAGAAGCTTTGTCAGGAAGTGCACAGCTTTGTCAGCTTTTCCGCTGTGAGGCATGAGCTCTGCAGGCGGGTTTCTCTTCTGCTTTCTGCGGGGAGGCTCGTCCTGCCCTTCCCCACGTTTCTGTCAGCTTAAATGTGGGCTTTGCTTTTGCAACCTCTTTTCTGCATCGAAGCACAAAGCAGAATATTTCTCCTGTTGCATACAGTTTAATTGCTATAAGCGAGCATACAGAGCTCTGTGGTAGGAAGCCGGGATTGCTGCTGCACTTGTGTTTTTGGGTTTAGTGCCTTCCTCTGACACAGGTTTTGCAATATGGTCTTGGTTGAGTCATTTATCTCTCTGGACATCATTGTGGTTTTTCTGCAGTAAAACGGTTTTGTTTCCTGGGGCTTTGGGAGTGTGCAGGGGCTGTGAAGTGCTGGGCAATGCAGGAAGTGGAGGAAACTGCAGTTTGTGCATCAAATGCTTTTTTTTTTTGCTTTCTGTATGAGGGAAGGGAGAGGAATGCATGTAGAGACCTCAGTGACATTAGAGCCTACCTGTACATGGATTTGCACAAACACACAGGAAAAAGCATGACCTGGAAAGCCTCTGCTCATGGCCTAAAATCATCCCAAAGCTGCACTTCAAATTCTCTCAAGTGCTGGTTTTGCAAAGTGTTCCAAGCAAATGGGTGATCCTGAGTGTTTCACCCAAATCATTTGATTATGGTCTGCAGCACTTTAAAGGCCAGGCCACTTCAACAGTCAGACAGCTGGGACAGTTTCTGAGTGTATGAGAGAGAGGGGGATATTTTGGCACTAGAGGGAATGCAAGAAAAGTCAGTGAACATTGTATTAAAAAAAAAAAGAGAGAAACCAATGCAGGAGCAAGGACACACTGCTTTTGAAAGTCAGCCAGCCTTTGTGTATGTTGCCTGATTTTGGATCCGGACCTACCTGTCCAGAGCTCCATAACAAAATTATAAAAAGAAATGGAGAAAAGCAGCAAATTCCACTTATAACATTTCCACCCAGGTCTTGTATAGCTGCGACAGTCTGTGGATGGAGGCTGCTCGAAATGCAAATGTTAGAGTAAGCGTATCTCTGCCAGTATTAAATTTTCAGTGAGTTTACAATGGTTCTCACCTTATCTGATTTCCCCTCCTGCTGCCCTACCCAGCAGTTTAGGTGGAAGAGCAGCATTTAATTTTTCCCATGTCTGCAGCTGCTGCACCACAGCCTAAGAGCTCTTACAAATCCAAACAAATTTCTGTTTCCCATTTGCTATGAGTGCATATCAGAGATGCAATAACACAGGCTGACACCGCTGCTTTTGTCTCTTTGCCATTCAGTGCTCATGAAAGAGGAGCGTGAGGATGGATTACGGCAGCTGCGAATACCTGGTCCCATGTGGAAAAGACAAATACATCTCCAAGTAAGATGCTCAGTGGAGCTGTAATGCAAAAATATGTGTGATGCTGCTAGGTGGGCAGTTATTTGCAAAATTCCCAGGGGTTTTGCCTTTTAGGGAGAGTGGTCAACCCGGCTCAAATTGGTTGTTTCAGCTGTGTTGGCCTCACTTTCTGTTTTTTAACATGATTAGTCTGGATTTGGAAACAAAAAGACATTCTGGGACAGGAAACGGCAATTTCTTTTTAAAACAAAAGTGCTAGAGAGGTTTATTAAAGTGATTTTTATTTTTTTTCTTAGGAACATGTCCAGCTGTTCTAAAACCATTCAGTTTTGCTCAAACAGAATTTCTGCTGAAATATGCTTTGTGCTGAAGAAGTCTTGATCAGCTCTAGCTCAGTCATTGCTCTTCTATGCTTTGGTAAAGAAGCAATCAATTCCTAAGTTTCAAGTATGAGGTGATAGAGCATATGTGATATTTCCCTCTTTTTTCTTTCTCATAACTTCAAATCCTGGTGATTTGTGCTTCTTTTTACTGATCCAACGATACCGAGCACCCTTAAACTCAATCAGTCAGGCCAGTTAAACTAATGACTGTCTTATGCTATCAGTCACTGTTTCCCAGTGATACACAGCTGTACTTAAACATCCTGGTTTTGTTTTTAATTATTATTATTATCATCATCATCACAGTAATTATCATTATTGTTAGCTTTATGTATCTGCAGCTGGAGCAGGCTCAGACTTTTAATTTGAACATGAGATTGGGGTCTGACATCAAAACTGATGGACTTGTGACAACTTGTGACTCCAGCGTGACCCCAAGGCTTAGGATCTCCTAAATTTTACATTTTCAGCCTTGCTTTGTTTTTGGCCTTGTGACCGAATCCACTGAGGTTTTCTTATGTCTTTTTGCGAGCCTGGAGAAGGGCATGGTTATGTGGGAGCTTGTCCTCAAAACCATGGTTGCTGGTGGCCAGAGGGATGTGGTTGAACCCACAGCAGATATCCTCAATAAAGGAATTCTAGAGGCAGTGAAATACACAAATTTGCCCCAAATGAGGCCTTCACACCTGCTTTTCTCCTCCTTTTCTCAGCATCTCTCATCTTTTTCTTGCAGAAATGAGCTGCTACTGCACTTGAAGACATACAACATCTACTACGAAGGGCAGAATTTGCAGCTGAGGCACCGGGAGGTAAGGAACTGGGGCCAGCACCAAGCAGGGGTGTATCTCTGGCAGGAGAGGCTCAAGGTGAAATGAGAATGTCTGGTTCGATTCGGATTTGCAAGGTCCAAGAACTGCATGTTAACAACATTCCTTGATACTTGCTTATATATGGCTACACCAGAGCAACTGAAGACCCAAATCCCATTACTCTCCCACAGAATCACAGAATGATTAAAGTTGGAAGGGACCCCTGGGTCCATGTGGGCCCACCTGGCTCCAGCAGGGCCACCCAGAGCCCTGCACCACGTCCAGCCAGGTGCAAAGACTCAGAGGAGGAGGCTCTGGCACTTCTCTGGGGACCTGTGCCAGAGTTCTGGCATCCTCCCAGCACGGATGCACTTCGTGATGCTCAGGGGGAGCCTTCTGGGCTTCAGGGTGTGCCCAGAGCAACTGGGCCTGGCACTGGGCACCACTGGAAGGAGCCTGGCTCTGTCGCCTCCACACCTTCCTGCGGGTGCAGATGGACATAGACTCTCAAAGGACAGATGCTCCAGTCCTTCCACCAGCTTGGCTGCTGGTTCGCTGGACACTCTCCAGTGTGGCCATGCTCTCTTGCACTGGGGAGCCCAGAACTGGCTAAAGTTCTCAAGGTGTGGCCTCCCCAGAGCTGAGCAGAGGAGCAGGATCACCTCCCTTGACCTGCTAGTGACACTTTGCCTACTGCAGCCCAGGGCACTGTTAGCTTCTGTTGTGGTCAGGGCATGTTGCTGGCTCCTGTTGAACTTGGTGTCCTCCAGGATCCCAGTGCCTTCTCTGCAGCGCTGCTTTCCAGCTGGGTGCTCCCAGCTTGCCCTGGTGTCTCTGGTTGTTCCTCCCCAGGGGCAGGACGTTTCACGTCCCCTTGGTGAACCTCAGCAGGTTCCTTCAGGCCATTTCTCCAGCCTCTGTGGGTCCCCCTTGGCGGCAGCACAGCCCCCTGGTGCATTAACCACTCCTCCCACTGTGGGACCAGCTGTGGGCTTGCTGAGGGCACAATTCTGCCCTGTCATGCAGCTCATTCTTGAAGCTGTTGAACAGGATAGGACCCACGACTGACCCCTGGGGTACACTGCTGGTGACTGGCCTCCAACTGGGACCGCTGACCACCACCCTCTGGTCTCTTTATAACCCACCTCCCATCCAGTTCACACCGTTCCTCCCCAGTGCATCTTTTAGGATTTGTGTGGGTGGCAAGAGTGATGCCCATCTCTCTGCTCTGTGCAGGAGGAAGGCGAGCTCATCGTTGAGGGGCTGCTGAACATCTCGTGGGGTTTGCGGCGGCCCATCCGCCTGCAGATGCAGGATGACAACCAGCGCATCCGCCCGCCACCCTCCTCCTCCTCCTGGCACTCGGGCTGCAACCTGGGAGCGCATGGGTGAGTGCAGGAAAAGGAGTGGCCCCAGGCTGTGCTTTGCAGCCATTGCCTGGATGCAATCACAGTTACCATCTCTGAAAGGATTTGGTCACACGGTAGCAGTTGGGTGGCTGTAATAAAGGAGGACGTCATTTATCCTAGTGAAGATGAGACCTGAGGGCTGTTAATACTTGCTTTTCATCCACGTAGCCCAATAACTGTGTTCAGCAATCAGGCTGTGGTGGCCAAGGTGGTCTTTTGCAGGCTGTGTTCAGTCATTGCTTTGTGCAGGAAAACTCCTTGTATTCCAACATGCAATGCCCAGAGAGGGCAGGTCCAAAGTAAAATAACTGGGTTTCAGTCTGTAAGGACCCCTATTGCAAATCAATAAGACCCCTTTGCCATCAAGAAGATCCTTCCAAAATAGCCTCAGTTTTAACTTTAATACAAAACAAGATTAATGCTGAATTTTGATCTGGACACAAGTAATTTCTCCAGGACAGTGATTTTTGCGCTGTGCTTTGCAGACACCCGTGGGACCCTGGGCTGCATCATGGTCACTTAAGAAGTGACTAAGAGCAGCATGTCTGTGGGTTTTTCTGCATGCTTTTCACTCATCACTTAGACATCTACAAATGGAAAAAAAATGTGCAGGATCCAGGATTTTTAGTGGAAATATACTGTGCAGAGACCCTGCAGGAGGTTAGCAGGTGCTTTGCAATGTGCCAGATCTGTAAGAAGGGGGTGACTGCACTGTTGGACCTGTCCTGCTCTAAACATCAGCCTGGTGTAGTTAGGTGCACCCAGTCTCCCCACTGCCCCCAGTTTTGGGGATGCTCTGGTCTGGCTGAGGGGCAAAGCCATGAGAAGGGCAGGTTGAAACTGCAAAGCTGGTGGGAAAACCGCATTCTCCAGTTGTGGATGGATTCATGGAGTATTTTACCTTCCCTCCTGATAACATAGCAGCATGAGGCTTGGAGGGCAAATTATTATGGTTTTAATTCCTTTGCAACTGCCTGGTAGTGATGCACTTCCTTTTTTTTTTTTTTCCAAGGTTGGTGCTGAAGCCCAGCACCTTGCCGGACATCCAGGTTACAGATGTGGATGCCACAATGAACACAGAGGGCACCATCAGCAGCACTGGTGAGACAGAGATGGATTTGGCTGCACCACTGTGAGCAGTGCCATGCTCTGCACCAGCTTCCTTACATTCCAGTTATATCTGTAAAAGTATAAAATTGGCTCTTTTTTTGGTAGAAATCAGTGTCCCTGCCTCCCTAAGTTAGCTCAAGCCATTTCCTAAGTGCTTATATTTAATCTCAGTGACTCTTCCTAAGAGTTTGCTCAGGGAAATGTCCATGGTGGACGTGTTGGAGAGGAGTGTGGAAAGAAATAGGGGGATAAAGAAAAAGGCCTATTGGGATTGTAGGGAAAAGGATGTGGCTGCTTCCCTTTCCTGGCAGTTCTGCTTTTATGGAGGAATAATAGGTGCTGTTGTGAAGTGCTGTTACCATGGGGAAGTCAACATTTCTGCAAAGTTTTTTCCCTCCCCATCGCGTTGCTGCATGCACCGAGGTTAAGTTCTAGGGCTATTCCTCTGCCTGCCCCTGCACTTCCTTAATCCCACCGGGACCCAGATTCCTCACCCTGGCACCAGCTTCGCTATTTTTTTTTGCAAGCCCAGCAGTGAATGGGAAACCAGGATTCCCACCAGAAAAACCTGCCTTACACCTTTTCTCATTCAATCAGGGCATTTTGCACACTTTGCACGTTCCTTGCTTTTTTTTTTTTTTTTTTTTTTTTTTTAAGGAAAGGCACCCTGGAGGCTGATAGGAGCTGGATAATCCTTTTGGTTTTGGGCTTTGCTGTTCATCCCCTTCCCAGTCGGGAAGGAACTGGGCCCTTACATTGCTCACAGATCTGTGAAACTCCTTGCTCAGCCCCCTGTCCTCCTGCTTCCTCTTCCTCATTTTGATCTTCCCATGCATGACTCTTTTGTGTTTTTTGTTTTTTTTTGCCCTAGAGACTTGTTACAGATTGGTGGGCGATAACTGCAACACACTGATATATAGAAATAACCCCGGCACTATTTTGGCTGGGCATATGACGTGAATCATATGCCAATGCACAGAAAGAAGTCTTTATTTTATTTTCTCCAAAAGTCTGCAAAATCAGCGCATAATGTGTGTGCATGGCTCCTTGTGAGTGCTTAGTCACTGGCATGCATCTGGAACACAAGAGATTTTCTTGGTGCAGACATGCTTTGAATTAAAACATCAGCTTGAGCTGGAGAGGTTCATTAAAAATGGATGAACGGCGAGTTTATAATAATCTGGACCCAGGCCAGTCTTCATGCTGAGATCTGAAGCATTGGCCTCATTTTCCCGCTCTCATTAAGGGAAAAGAAAAGAAAAAAAAAAAGTTAAATTATGGAAAAGCGAGTAAGGTGCTCAAGTTCCCAGGAGATGAGGTTTTATCCAGGTAGCAGCATGGATGTATGCAGTAATTGTGAATTAACAGCCTCCTTTGTGGGAAAGTAAACCAGTGGTCTGGGCTGATGGAAGTCCAGGGCAAGAGATCAGGGAAGGTTGTTTGTTTATGTGTTTGGGGTATTGTGGCTTGCACCAAAGCAGAGCAAAGAAGTGATTTCTGCCCCAGCCACCCTACTGTCACTGGCAAACGTCTGTCCATCCATACCTCATCCATACCTTTAACCCCATCCTGGGTTTTCCAGGTGCTGCGAGGCTGCAGCCAGAGGAGCCGCCACAGCTGCTGCGGACACGGAGCGATGTGGGCGTGCGTCGGCGGGGCAGTGCCCGCACCCCCAGCGAGCAGCGGCGCATCCGCCGCCACCGCTTCTCCATCAACGGGCACTTCTACAACCACAAGGCGAGCCCTGGCTCCTACCCCACTCCTGGCACCGGGGTGGGGTGGGGATGGGTGGTGGAAGCTGCTCTGGGGGAAAAGGATGGGGGTTTTGGTGCTCATGGGGGTGAAATGAATGTTGTGCCCCTTAGACATCAGTGTTCACACCGGCATACGGCTCCGTCACCAATGTCCGGATAAACAGCACGATGACGACCCCACAGGTCCTCAAGCTGCTGCTCAACAAGTTCAAGGCAAGTTGGGGTGATCCTTGGGCTGCTCTGCACTAGATGTGATGGGGAGCTCAGTTTCCATAGATATAAAATGTAATGGAAGAACAAAATGATGTTTATTTTCTTGGCTTGAAAAAAATCAAGATGTAATGCTTCTTTACATCTGTGCTCAGATCGAGAACTCAGCGGAGGAGTTCGCGCTGTACATTGTCCACACCAGTGGAGGTGAGGCTGCAGGAAGGGCCCAGCACTGGGATGACCAAGCCTGCTGGTGGCTTTGGTGGTGTAAACTGGTGCTTTTTTCATTGCAGAAAAACAGAAGCTGAGGGCCACTGATTACCCCCTGATCGCCCGCATCCTGCAGGGCCCCTGTGAGCAGGTCTCCAAGGTATTCCTCATGGAGAAGGACCAGGTGGAGGAAGTCACCTATGATGTGAGTTTTACATTGTGGCAAGCTTTCTGCTATTGGATGGCCCTGGAGGTTGTACATTCTGTTAACTCAGGGTGAGCACCCCCAAAAGGACTGGGGTGCAAAAGTTGCTTTGCAGAAACCGCAGCCCCTCTGCAATCATCTTTTACTTCCCGTATCTGGGTGCAGGATCACACATGCTCCTGGTTGTTTAAAGCATTGCAGGTAACCAAGGGGCTGCTTTCTAAAATGCTGTTAGCTTTGCAGAGCTTCCTGCCAGCATGGCCCTGTTCTGTACCATTCATTTGCATGACGGAGGAGAAAGCCTCTCAGTTCCTTCCACCCATCTGCAATGTTTTGTGCCACTTTTAAAGCTTTCTCATGCAGAAAACCTTGTTCTGTGCTTAAAGAACAACTGAGAGCAAAGGGACCCCACTGTAATTGTGAAGATGTATTAACGTCAGTGGGAAATGTTGCAATCAAGGCTGGCACAATTCCTGTGTTTCCATCACTTGACATTATAGAAGGATGGAGCGCACTCCATCATTTTCAAAGTGGCAAAAATTCCCTGGAAACAGTTAAATTCAGAGCTCAAAATCTCTCTGTGTGCTTAAAAAAAGGACACAAGTATCTAGGAAAAAATGCTGAGCAGGAGACTGTAACTCCTGTCTGCAGGGGGATACAAAACTGCCCACCTTTTGCATGGACACCAGCATCTGCTGTGCCTCCATCTGTCTCCTGCCTTTTCAGCCCTTCCAAATCTGCCTGCTACACATCTTTTAGCACAATTGATATTTTTTTTTCCAGCTGAGGAAAGTGCTACTTATGGGAAGCAGCTCTGCTGTGCCATCTGCTGGCTTGCTCGTGCCCCTGCTGTGGCTTTGTTCCTAAATGAGGGCACAGCTGAGGTGATTTTGGGCTTAAATAGCACTTAATGAACTGTTGGGCGATGCGCATGACACTCCTAGGATGTGAAGGCTTCTGGTCTTGGTTGAAAAAATTAGGTGGACATTGATCTGCACATCTCTCCTCTGTAGGTGGCTCAGTACATCAAATTTGAGATGCCTGTCCTCAGGAGCTTCATTCAGAAGCTGGAGGAGGAGGAGGATCGTGAAGTGAAGAAGCTGATGCGCAAGTAAGCACGCACGTATGGGAAGATGCTGAGCTTATAGGACACGGGAGGGGAGGGGTTGGGAGGGCTCAGCTGCAGGAATTAGATGCTGAAGATTCATTTGTACAGCCTTGCAAGGCAGGCATCCCTAATGCATACATGAGACATTGCTTTTTGTGTTATCCAGGGCTTTCTTAGTAATTTGGATTAAGAGCCCATCTTGCTGCTTCTGCTGTTAAAACCTTGGTGTGGAGCCACAAGTCCTCCCACGAGCACAAAACCCCTTCCCTGCCCAGCTGCTAAAAATGCTGCACTGGAGCCTGTCCCTATGGTAGCCCCTAGGTCAGAGTTTGTCAGCAGTCTGTGCACATCCCATGAGATGCTCTGGGCTCCTTTCCAGTGATGAATTTATCCTAACCTCAAAATTTCTGACCTCTGATCAAGCAGACACAGTGAGGAGCTTGGAAACATTGAGCATTTCTGCAAGGCTCTGCTCTCTTTGCTTTTTCCTTTGCCTTTCCAGATACTCCATCCTCCGGCTGATGATCGAACAAAGGCTGGAAGAGATCTCTGAAGGGCCAGCAAGGCTGTGAGGCAGTTTGCAGCACCGTACCCTGCTTACAATGCAAGAGGTTTGCATGAAGGACATCCTGTACTGAACCCTAAGTGCTCATTGCTGTGGGAGTGGACCTACCTGCCTGGACCGCTCCGTCTTCGAGCCAACCCAGCCTCCTGCGTCAGGCAGAGCAGTTCAGGCAGCTTCAATGCATCTATTGCCATGTCTGGATGTCACCCAAAAACTTCAAGCTCATGGGGTGCCGGCACACTCAGGGTAGCCCCGTCCCATGCATGGGACTTGGCAGCTTCTTTGCAGCATCCTCAAACAGCTCCTTCTCTGCAAATGCTTTTTCTGCTCCTTTCTGTACATGGAGAGCCAGGTGCAGGGCCAGAAGCAGCACAATTGGCTTCATCTGAAACCTCAAATGCCTGTAAACCCCAGCTAAAAAAAAGAAGAGATTCAGGAGAAGGGCAAAGCCACTGAATATGGGGACGAGAGGGGCTGCAAGTGTTCAAGAGCAATAACTTCAGCTCTGTTTGGCGATGCTCTCTTCCATGGTTCACATGCGCAGTGACTGGAGGAGGCCAAATAGCACAAATAATTCCTCTCAGACCTTTTTTTTTTTTAAAAGCACATTTCTATTGCAATAATTCACAGGTGATGGGAAGCTTTTGTACATCCCTAAAGGACCTCTGAGAATTGCTTTCTTCTGCTTTAGCCATTGAAAGCAAAACGAGATTGAATGTTGGACTTACGGTGAAAGAGTTATTCTGCTGTGTTTCTCCCTTAAACCTGCATCTCGTTGCCTAACCCTCCCCCTCTTTCTAATTTGCACTAATTTTACTGTGGGATTTAAAAAAAGAAACAACGTATCTGATGTCAAACCTCTCTGGTAGATTTAACATGCCAAATACCGCTCGCAGGAGCCGCTCATGGTAATGAGCTGCTCCTGAGGGATGCTGTAAGGAAACTGGAGCAGCACAGGAACAGATCATCTGTGAACTCTCCTCATCTCATTCTTTTGGCAAGATTTTGCATGTTTGTGCATTGCTGGTGTTGAAATTGAGTCTGGGGGATGTTTCTCCTTGTGTGTGAGGATGTGAGAATGGCAGGAGGGGGGAGAGACAAAAAGAGGTTTGTTTTGCAAGGCAAATGCCTCTCTCCTTCAATGCTATACCAGCAATATCAATTTTATACCTCGATGTGAACTAAAACTCTGATTTTGTCCCTTAGGTTTTTTATATCTTTATATCTTTGTAACTTTTTTTAATGGTACCTTTTAAACCTTTAACATACAAAAAGTATTGTCCAGTGACAAAAGCGTTTCATGTATTTGGAGGACAACTGTGGCATTGCTTCGTTTATTAACAAGAAAAAAAAGTCTGTAGCAACTTAATACCATGTGGAAGCACATGAGTTAGAACTTGTTTTGTTCAAAATAAAGCACTTTGTGGATAGAAATGCTACTGAGAAATAGGCTCTTTGCATGAGCTGTTTTTTCCTAGATGCTATGAGAGAGAAAAGCAAAACTCTGCCAGCATGAGGGCTAAGGTGTTTCCTAAGGAGAAGCATCCTGTGCTGCAGACTTGGAGACTCACAACCCAGTCACCAGGGGATTTTTGTGAGAATTTGCTGCTGTGAGGTTTATCCGGCACTTAAGCAGACTGTTCATCTCCATGCATCATGGCGATGCATGCTTGATCCTCTAGGTATTTCTCTTCCAGAAAGTAAAAGTCACGTCTGGAAGGAAACTTGTGCATTGATTGGGTTTGTTTTAAACCCACTGAATTTTTCAACCAGATGCATTTTTTTTTTCTCCTCCATGAGGCTGAGCTTGCTGGAAGCCACTGTCTCATGTTAGCCAGCTCAGTGCAATTTATCCCTCCCCGTGCAGGAGGGGAAACGTGTGACGTTGGCCCTTGTTGTCGATGTTTTATCAGCTGGGAAAAGTCCAGTGTGAGTCTAGCCCCGCGCGTGCAGACGGGAAGAGGCAGTTCCAGCGCGGCCACGGCTGCACGGTAAGGGCAGCTCCTAGCCATGTGGCATGGCAGAGCGGGATAAGAGGATAAGATGTAGTGTGGATGGAGCAGTGAAACCTGCAGGTTTGCAGCATGCACCAGAGCTGGGGGTCAGGATGGGGAGAGCAGCGCAGGGAGGCATTGCACCCTGCCTGGGCACTTCAGCACCAGGGTTTTCTCTGGGATTTGATCCATGAATGTGGATGCTGCAGGGAAAAACGGGAGGGAAATTGGAAGGGAAAAAATAGTCTTAATTTTTGTGGGGCTTTGCTGCTCAGGTTTGCTGCATTTCCAGCCTCGCTGCTCCAGTAGCAGTGATGCAGCTGCAAACATCTGGAATGGCGACACGCACCTATCCAGGCTTTCTTTAAAGCAAAAAAAAATCTGGTATTATGATCTTTGGAGGAGCAGGTCCTCTTAACAGTGGCAAAGTTGGCAAATTTAACTAATTAAGCCCTTCTTTTGGAAGTTCTGTGTTTGCACTGCCTCCCATGTGTCAGGCTTGGGGGTGGGGGAGTCACGCCTGGCACCTTCTACCGGGTGAAATGCTGACGCAGGGATGCGCTGCCGCCTTTCATTCAGCCAAGGCACCCAGCCACGGGGCTCTGCCTTTTCAAAAGGCTTTTTGTCAACATGGCTCAGTGATGGCTCAGCAGCTTCGGCACAATCAGCCTGTTTGCTCAGCCGGAGGGGCGGTGGGGAGTACGGGGGAGTCCTCACCATGCTGCCACGCTGCTTTTCGCTGGGTCACAAAGATGAAGGTGCAGCTTTCAGGAACTCAGGGGCATTTGCATCACGTGTTGGCATCGCGGGAGGTTGTGCCACAACAGCAGTGCCAACCCTCCATGCTAACTTTGTATGCATTAAATATGCTGCCTACGGTAAATAGGTTAAACAACAGATTAAATAATAGGTTAAATAACATGATAAATATGTTAAATATATCAAATATATTTGATGTCCCTGCCCATGGTGGTATGGTTGGAGTAGATGACCTTTAATGCTCTTTCCAACCCAAACCAATCTATGGTTCTTTGACTATATCAACTACATAAAATACTTGAAACATATTGAATATATCAAATACAAAACCAAATACATTAGTGTAGTGTAGTATAATATAACACAATACAATGTAAGAAAATATAAGATGTATCACGTGGCCTGATCTGGATGTGAGCTAGACGGCTGCACGCACAGTGCACACAAGTCGGATGCTGGTGCTCATCGCCCCTCCTTGCACCCTTCTGCAGGTCGTGCAGGATGAGGCCCCGCGATGCCTGGTGCTGGGTGCTGCTGCTGCTGCTCGCCCTCTTCAGCGATGCTGCCAGCGGCCGCCGTGGAGCTGGAGGAAGAGCTGGGGGGCGTGGAGGAGGCGGCGGTGGTGGTGGGGGGGCTGCGTGGGGGCTTTCGCGCTGTCTCCCATGGTGGCGGCACCCCCAGCCGTGGCTCTAAGATGGCAGGGGCCATCGTGGCTGGTGCTGCCGCGGGGTATGGCATGGGGCTCCTCGGGCGCCCGCGGCCATCCCGTCTTGGCCACGGCCCCCCGGCCGCCCGGCAGCCTCCGCTGGTGGGGGGGTTTCATGCCCCGGTTTGGCCAGAGATGGGGGCCAAGCGGGGACCCCCCAGCCGAGCCCCCGGGGAGCAGCGCAGTGGCATTGTCCCCACACTGCTGCTGGCAAATGCCATCTGCTTTGTCTGTCACAGGATGCAGTTCTGAGCATCAGTGTGGGGAGGGGGCATGGGCACCTGGATGACCCCCACTGAGCTGAAGCTGTGGGGATTTACTGGTGCATGGCTGTGCTGGGAGGTGGGATGGGGCTCGGGGGGAGGTGGGAGGATGCTGCTGTCTTGGTTTCCCCCACTGGCATGACGGGACCCTCTGTGAGCAGCTGGAGCCAAGCAGCCATCACCACACTCGTGGCCACCTTGCAGCCAAATGGATCCTGCAAACCTATCAAGCATACAATCAAATCAAGCCCTGCAAGGAAGTGTCAATATCTGCACCTGGATGGTGGCAGGCACCACTGGATCCGCCCCACCAGACATGGTGCTTGGGATCTGGTTTTGCACTGCACGGCTTTGCAAAAAGATGCTCCTTCCTCCCCAGAAAAGAGCACAGGGACTCGATGGGGACATGGGGCTCCAAAATGATCCCCTCTGACTTGCAATAAAGTTTGGCCTAGAGACTGCCTCTTGCTCCATTTTGCAGTATTGGGGCATACCTTCTTGCACTGCAGATTTGCTTGTGTCATGGGGAGTCTTAAACCAAATCCATCATATTTAGTACCAGCTGCAGCCTGGGAAGCCTGCACTGCTAAGGGACGTTGCAGAGAGGGTGACACTCGGGGTGATCACATTGCCTGGGGACTAACTCCTGTCACATCTCTCCAGCATCAATATGATCAAATCTGTCTCGGTCTTTAGCATCCCCTGTCCAAAGCACAGGCAGCGGTGGGATTGTCCCTTCCCTGGGGTGTGGGGGCTCCCTGCTCCAGGATTTGCCCTTTGTGGATGTTTTGGGTTTGCTTTTCCTCCAGGCCTTCCCAGCAGAGAAACTGATGCAAATCCTCTCTGATGTCCTTCTGGGAAAAGAGGGATCCTTTTTCCCCGGGTCCTGCATTTTTGTCTCTATTTTATGTCTTGTGTGGTTAAACCTCTCCAAAAACCTGGTTGAGCTGCAGCAGCTGAGCCACTACTGCAAGCAAAGAGGAACCAAGCAAACTATTGGGGATCCCCCCAAAAAGCAATGGGGCAGCCTCATCTTCCTGCAGGTAAGGACAAATATTGCTGAGCCTGGTTTTCTCATTTAAATGGTGCTGAGTATGGTTTTTTGTCACCTCTTCTCTGGCTTAAGACACAGCCTGGGTAAACTTTTAGGTGAACAAGCACAGCTGTTCCTATAATGCACTGGGGGTTGGTTGGTTGTTTTTAGCGTGCTTAGGTGAAGTGATAAGCCTGAATTTACATCTTCCAACCCATGTTTTGCATCCCAGCCTGCCCAGGCTAGATGGCAGGCCCATACCACGAACATCCTCCACTCAACCATCTGACTTGCAGCCTGAATTCAGAGATTCCACAGCTTCCTGCAGTCCCACCTTGTTCTAGCTTTCTCCCTCCAGAGGGTGTGCAATACACAGGGACATGCACCACCCCTCTCCCCAACCACCTTTTTATGAAAGTAATTGCAGGCGAGGTAAGGGCGTTTTCATTTATTTTGCTCTGAAATAACAACTCCTGAGACATCAGAGCTGCCTTGGGAGGTGTATTTGGGAACAAGAGCATTGCAAAAATATCTCCAGGGCTGCTGTTTGGAGCAGGGGCACAGCTCTGACAGGAGATGGAGCTGTTGTCCGCTTGGCAGTGAGCGTCTGGCAGTGATGCATGTCCTGCACATCCCTCCTCCAGCTCTGTGCCAACTGTCCAGCTGTAACATCACTTGCACTAAAACCACACTTTTTAGAGGGCTTTTTTTTTTTTTCTTGGTAGAAAAAAAGTGTGGTGTTGCTTAGTTTGCATATGGAATGCTTATTTGTCAAGTGAGGGTTTTACCTTGCTAAAGAGATTTCAAAGAGAGCAGAAAAAAACCTACCCCTAAACTATTGCATTTGCACTTTATTTCTCCTTTATCAGCATGGAAAATCAGGAACACTTTCTGTTTGTTTGGCAGACAAGCTCCACGAACACTGCAGGATTTGCCGTATTTAGCCAATTAATTCAGTGCTGTGTGGGCACAAGCAGAGGGTGGAAATAGTTTTTTTGATCCTCCTCCAAGCATTGCCAAAGTCAGTGTTTCCACCTGCCTTGCTGGGGATGGAGCAACTTCATGTACTTTGAGTGGAAGCTGCAGGAAAAAGTCTGGCTTCTGGGGGGCTGGAAATAACCATTTTGTGTTGCTGTGTGCTGAGGTCACACCTTCCCTTAGTGGAACTTGGGAATGACCCAACTTACCATGCAGATGTTGCTAGCCCCAATATCAGGATACTCATCTGGAAAATGTGTTCTTTTTTTCTATATTCCTCCTTCCCTTACCGTTCCTTCCGCTAAAGTCCGGCACCGACGCGGCAAGGCCAGGCCCGGCAAGAACGGAAACGGAAACGGGAAAGAAAGGAAAGGAAAGGAAGTTCCCTTCCCTTCCCTTCCCGGGGCAAGGGAAATATTTCTTTCTTTCCTTCCTTCTTCCTTCTTCCTCCTTCCTTCCTTCTTCTCCTTCCTTCCTTCCTTCCTTTCTCTTTTCTCTTTCTTTCTCTTCTCTTTCTACTTTCTTTTTCTCTTTCTCTTTCTCTTTCTCTTTCTGAGAAAGAGTGCTTTGGGGTGCTGCATCTCTTTGCACCCATAAAATGACCTGGGAGGATTCTAAGATACTCAACTGCAATTATTTAGGATAACCAACCTGCTAAAGGCTGGATTTGGCTGGCAGCTGGGTTGCTTTCACCACTGAATTGGTGCAGGAGAA